GTAAAGGAAAAGGAAGGCATGAATATCGACAAAGGGACCTTAAGAAGGTTAAAAGGAGCCCACAAATCACCATCCTATGATAAATAAATGAAGATAAGGGCAAACCCTATTGGGCCCAAGACATGTTTGAGGCCCATAATTCCAAATTTAAGTGGGCCCTCTTCAGGCAGAGAGTTGGATTCTGACAAATCATTTATTTTTGGGTATCGATAATTATAACATGCAAAAGGACTATTGAATATTGCCCGTGGGCCCATTAACATGAATAAATGGTAGCTAATCTTGACAATTAAATTGTTCGGACTTAACCCATGTGAGGAAGTTGACTAACAAAATAAATAAACTAAATAAAACTAAAAAAAATGTTGTAAGCAGAGTGGGGATAATTATAATACAAATATATCAACTTTCAACCTCTTCTCAATTAAATATATAAATTTTAATTTTTTTCATTTGAGTACATCAATTTTTTCAAAATTATCAATCAAGTACTTCGTTAATTTTTTCGTTAACTGATTACGTATCCAATATTATCAAAATATCAAATTATAATTTTTTCTTTTTTTTTCAAAGGAGTACATGAATTTTAATTTTTTTTAGATTGAGTATATCAATTTTTTCAAAATTATCAATCAAGTATTTTCATCAATTGATGATGTATATGAATACCAAATTATGTTTTTTTTTTCATCTTTGTTTTATAAGAAACTTTCTTTTTAAATTATTCTATCATTTTAAAATTTGAAAAAGAATTACAAAAAATTATTTTAGTTATAAAATCTTGAACCACATTTAGTAAGATTTGCTATTAAAAAAAAAAAATCTATTAGGTTTTGGGTATGAAAATTGAATAAGACGCCAACACGATATTTTTCATTTAGAAAATTCATTTGCATTTTTCTTTAATTTTTACTTTTAAAAGTAACTCGAGTTTTTTTTTTTTTAATAGTAAGCTAATTGAGTTTAGTTTTAAATTTTAGAGATAAAAAATAATTTTTTTAATTATTTTTCAAATTAGAAAATAGTAAAATAATTTGAGAAGAAAATTTCTTTTAACAAAATGAGGGTAAAATTACAATTTCATATTTGAATATGTCATCAATTAATGAAGAAAGTGATGGAAATACTTGATTGATAATTTTGAAAAAATTGATGTATTCAAATAGAAAAAATTAAAGGTTAATTACTCGATTGAGAAAAAGGATATAATTATAATTTAATATTTTAAGGATACCGTACACGTCATCGCTTAATAAAAAATTTGACATAAGTACTTGAATAATTGAATAATAATTTTTTAAAAAAATGATATACTCAAATGAAAAAAATTAAAATTCATATACTCTATTGAGAAAAATTAAAAATTAATATATTTATAGTGTGATTATTCATATATATATATATATATATATGAGGCATCAGGTTACATATTCGATTCTCACCTTTAGAAAACTCTTATCTTGAAAGCTACTCCTTCTTTGTGTGGTATTCACCTTTAGAAAACTTCTCTTTTGAAAACTCGTTCTTTTCCTTTATGTGGCATTGACCATGGGTTGCTAGTAGGTTAAAAAATTGAATTTAAAATTTGTTAAAAACCAAATATAATTGAAATGATAGATTTATTTTCGATTTAATTGAAAAATAAAAAAATTATAAACCATTGGACTCACATCAATAAATTTTATGTACCTTTACTCTTATGTTATTGAAGTCATCTATTTATTGTTTATCTTTTAATAACTTGGATTTTCTTGTAATACCTTGACCTAAGAAAAGAAAACCAAGAAAAAAAAAAGATTCATGGAGTAAGAGATAGGGGTTTGTGGGCTGAACTATCAGCCAGGGCCCATAATAATTAGGGAGCAAAGCCGAAGTTTATTATCCTGTCTGCAGCAGTTAGGTTGGATATTTCCTAGAGACATGCTTCATCATGCCATCACTTTTTGAGACAGGCAGTTCTTCAATTTCAATAAGGTAGCATTACTGCATTTCTGTTCCAACCTCAAATTTAAACATTGCCCCTTTTTCCTGCCTTACGAATTACAGTTGAAGTTGCATTATTGCAGCTATATTATGGAGTCGATAGTTTGTGCTTTCATCTAGATTAAACCTCAATGCGTTCATCGAGATTAAATCTCATCATCTGGTAATTTTAAGAACATAGTTTTTGCATCGGTCTTATATATTTAAAAGAATAATTTTTTCTAAAATTATTTTCAAAATTTAAACCCAAACAATCTACGAATAGAGTTTTTGGGTTAGATGGTTTGGAATATATGGCTACAAGATATTCAGATAAGATTAATCATGTTTTTAGCAGGAGCAATAAAGTTTAAATCATTTTAACAACTATAATTTTAGGATTTAAATCTCGTATATTAGCAGAAAATTCATATGAAAATTAGTTTGTTTACTACTGAATTAACAACTTATTCGTATGACATTATGATATTAAAAATACATACACAAAATGAATTAACTTGCTTATCACTAAGCTAATAACTTGTTACTGTCAAAGGGGCAGTGTTTCTTGTAAAGGCTCATGGACGAAACCTCCAAAAGGTGTACAGAATATTGGGCCAATTGTATAGGTCTGTTAGGCTTCTTTTTTCTTCTTCTTATAAGCCTAGTTGTCCACACTATAAATAAAGATAATATCTTTTGTATTTGTAAGTCGTTATTTGATAAAACCTTAATAAAAAAGTCTAATATAGTTGTAAAGTATACACAATTATTGAATTATATAAATCTTTATATTATGTACTTGTTTTTATCTTTCTATTATATTTTTTTTTTGCTTGATTCATCTTCTAGCAATTGGTACGACTACAAGATATTGAAAACACATATACAAAATTATGACTGGTGAGACACAATACACGAAAACAAACAGGCAGATAGGACTTAAAAGCAACATAAATGGTATAATTTAGATTCAAATATTCTAAGTTCCATCTATAACATTTATACGTTAAGTCATTTGTTCCTTTGTCACCTTTTTCTTGTCTCTTCAGTTCAGACACAACTCAAAACGTAGAGTAGCAGCACTTTATGCATGACATTAACAGGCTACCCATATATATTTACCTTTCTCGACCATTGATGGAGCTTCATTGCTGTTGTCTCTCAATTTTGTCTTATTACCACCTTTAATGTATAAAAATAGTAAGGGGGGATGGTATTATTGTTTCTCCATTTGCAATCTTGCCGTCCATTATATGCCCTAGGGTTTCGTGGACTATGATGGTAGATGATTACTGTGAATGTGACTGCTTGAAGTGCGTTTTGGATGCCAACTTCAACAACATATACACTTAGATTCCATTTCTTGACATCAAGAATCAACATAAATTCAACACCAACTGTACATTTCTTCTTACCAAACAATGTGTATCATGTCAAATAGGTGAGCTTTCTTATGGACAATGCTAGTGTTGAAAATAATGCCTTGGCCTAAGAAATGGTGGGCGACCTACCAAATGACGTTAGCATATTAGAGAGGAAATTACTCGACGTGGTCTTATATAATTGAAAAAAAAAAAAAGTGAGAAATCTGTTCTTATAATTGAAAATGACTCAATTAAGTGTTTTCAATCTATCTTTTGATGATATTTTTTTTGACAAAACAATAAAAAATATATTATGGTTTTTATGCATGATCAATTTTAGATCGAAAATACTCTTTAACTGAAAAATGACGGGATTTGATGATGACTGATAGGTTAAGACTTGATATTGATCTAAAAAATGAGAAAAATGTGAAAAATGTTGGTTTTAAGGTCTAAAGATGTAAATCGGCAAGTTAGTGCTTGATTTTAGGTAAAATAAGAAGGTTTTGATTGAAAAAAAACTAGAGGTTTTGAGTGGTCAAAAAAGTAACAAGATTGATCGTTTCGAGATAATTTTGTCTAGATTTTTAGAAAAGAAGGAAAGGAGAAGAAGAAGACAAAGATAAAAGAAGGTAAAAAAAACCCGAGTTCAATGCTTGTCCTTGGTCGGATTCAAGCTAAGGTGAGAGATGGTGGTGATGAGTTGGTAACTTGTAAATGCCCATCCAATTAAGGAATATTTTCGAAATAAAATTAATCATGCATAAATCACGTGATATTTTTTGATGATTTTATTGAAAAACATCATTATAAAAATGAATTAAAAAATCATTTACAATAAAGATATAAAATTGACTTATTTTAAAATATACCGTTTTAGTTTTTTTTCTTGACCGGATTCTATTTAAGGTGGGAGAGAGGATAGCGATAGGTTGATAACTTGCAAATATTCATTCATTTAAAAAGTATTTTTGAAATAAGATTAATTACGTTTAAAGTACGTAATATTTTATAGTTTTATAAAAAAATATCATCGTAAAAATAAATTAAAAATATAAAATAAATTTAACACTTACTTTATATAAAAACAAATCGGCTCATGTCCCCATATAACTCCATATTAATTGCATGTTGAGCAAATAATACCACCACTCTTATATGGGCCTTTTCTCAGTGGCATTTGTGCATTACAGTCTACACGTAAAGTTAAGCTAGCTGAGGTGAGGATAGGGTCGGATAGGATAAGAAGTGGCAGAGCATACAGGCATTGGTTGCTTCTGCTCCTCAGGATGCCGAAAGATTTTTCACTTATTAGTGGATTTGTGGGGATATATAGTTTGTCTGGATTTATGTTACTTGACGTTATGGTTGATAGCAACTTGGTAAATTTAAGGTAGGAAAAAGAAATATTGGTGATGTATCTTGCTTTCTTATGTTTCACCAGTACGAAAAAGATCGTCATTTCTCTGGTTATTGTAATCCTCCATGCCTTGTAAATGGGAATGGAATCTTGGACTGATTCTTGTCGCCAACCTTACGAGGTCCCAAGAATCAAACTTGATCTTCTCTGCTTGGATTTTTCTTGAGTCTCATAATGGAAACAAAAGGCAGAGAATGACTACAAATATGAAGTTCATCAGAGAGTTGTGTAGGTAGTGCAAGCACATAAGCATGGAGGATGCGGAGACTAATGGTGATGGGCTTCCGCTTTCTACCAAGGCCAAGGTGTTCGATAAGACAGGTAATTCTGTAGTTAATTATAAGTATAACTTTGCAAATTTAATGCAACCCATTTATTTGCGCTTCCTTAGTACTGCAGAGTAGCTGACGCTAAATCACTGATAGTTCTGAACGGTAAGCTAAATTACTCTTATGAAAATGAACAGATAGGAATATAGGATAGAAGGTTAGGAAATTACTCCTTGTCCTGGATGGTTTGCACTTTGCAACCTCAAATTTAATATTCTGTTGTCTGGTGAAGAATCCAGAACCCCAATATGGGCTCTGTCAGAAGTTTTTGCTCGCAGTTCTATGTACTTGCAGTGCATGTTATTACTTCAGTGTAGATGTAAAAAATATCATTGCTCTGTTCAGATGTCAGAGTCATCACAGGATAAGAACATCTCATTCTTCTTATCTGAGGATATCTGATAGGTATAAGCATTGAACAAGTTCAGTAGATGTCGAAGCATATACAAGTACAATTATATAGTTTCGAATTGTGGTTCCAGTCGCGATTATTGTTGCAGATTGCTGAGAGTAAGACTTTCCGGGTGTTAAATTATGGTTGCAGCTATTGTTGTCATCATCATTAATACTAGCTCTTGACAAATTTTTGTAACGCATGCTCTCCAAATAATTTCACTCTCTAATAATTAATTAAAGTTTCTGAACAACGATTGCTGACTCCTTTTCTGCTTATTAAAACACAATTAATTTCTGCAGAAGAAGTAAACGATTCGCCAATCGAGCAAGTCAAGCTCACAGTTCCAATTACGGATGATCCTTCATTACCATGCTTGACATTTCGAACATGGGTTTTGGGGATGGCATGTTGTGCTCTTCTGGCATTTGCGAATCAGTTCTTCGGTTACCGTCAAAATGTACTCTATGTGACATCAGTTTCAGCTCAGATTGTAGTGCTGCCAGCAGGAAGGCTTATGGCGGCAGTTTTACCAAACAAATCTATTCGTTTTCCAGGAACGAAATGGTCATTTTCATTGAATCCAGGGCCTTTCAACTTAAAAGAACATGTCCTGATCACCATATTTGCAAATGCTGGATCGAATACTGTGTACGCAGTGGGTATTATCACCATTGTGAAGGCATTTTATCATGGTCAAATAGATGTAGCACCAGCTATGTTATTAACGCAGACGACTCAGGTGAGTCTTTCCTAAACTTCCTTGCAGGTTTTTCTTGTCCTTTCCTCAACATGCTTGATAGAACATGCTTATATCCAATTTTGTTTGGAACATTCAGTTGCTAGGATATGGATGGGCAGGAATTTTCAGGAAGTTCCTTGTTGATTCACCTTACATGTGGTGGCCTTCCAATCTGGTTCAAGTTTCCCTCTTCAGGTGTCTCCGGCCACCTGATTTTTCTGTCAGTATATAACCAGTATTCTCTTCTTTTCTCCTCTAATTCATTTCCCTTTCAAACTCTCCAGGGCATTGCACGAAGTTGAGATCAGGCGTAAGGGAGGCCTAACAAGGCTGCAGTTCTTCATCGTGGTCCTTGCATCAAGCTTCGCTTACTATATAGTCCCTGGCTATCTATTCCAGTCTATAACTGCACTTTCCTTTGTCTGTTGGATATGGAAGGATTCAGTCACTGCCCAACAAATTGGTTCTGGTCTTCATGGCCTCGGCATCGGATCGTTTGCCATCGATTGGTCAACCGTAGCTGGCTTCCTAGGATCTCCCTTGGCCTCTCCTGGATTTGCTATTATCAACACATTATTTGGTTATATCATAATCATCTACATCATAATCCCCATAGCTTACTGGACTAACTCATATGATGCCAAACGTTTTCCCATTTTCTCTGCACATGTTTTCAATGCTGGTGGACAACCCTATGATGTTTCAACAGTTCTAAATGAGACAACCTTCGAATTCAATAAACAAGGATACGATGGTTACAGCAAAGTCAACCTAAGTATCATATTTGTTTACGCTTATGGTCTAAGCTTTGCTGTATTGGCTGCTACATTAACTCATGTAGCTCTTTTCCATGGAAGGTACTTATTTACCAACAGATTATTAGTGTTTTTTTTTTTTTAATTATTATTATGATGCTAATCTGCATTTCATCAACAGATAACAGATCATCATTTGTCTAATCACCTTGTCCTTCTGTTTGCAGAGAAATTTGGCATCAAACTAAAGCAGCATTTCAAGACAAGTATGCCGATGTCCACACTAGAATAATGAAGAAAAACTATGAAGCTGTCCCTCAATGGTGGTTTTACTCACTTTTGATTGTAGTGATCGGCCTAGCCATGCTTACTTGCGAAGGCTTTGGTAGACAGTTGCAGCTTCCTTACTGGGGTGTCCTGCTAGCAATTGGCATGGCTTTCATGTTCACCCTTCCAATTGGTGTTATTACAGCAACTACAAACATGGTATGACCTTCGCAGACAAAGTTTTCGACCTGTTTGTGTTATTTGTGCTCATATAGATGTCGAAATCGTTGTGCAGCAACCGGGACTCAATGTTATCACTGAGCTGATAATCGGTTACATGTACCCGGGGAGACCCATTGCAAATGTGACTTTCAAGACCTATGGCTACATTAGCATGTCTCAAGCAATCATGTTCCTCTCAGACTTCAAGCTGGGACATTACATGAAAATTCCCCCAAAGTCCATGTTTGTTGTCCAGGTATAAATTTAAAATTAAAATCACTGTCTCATTATAGAATTATATGTTATCCTGTAAGCCCACATTAGGATAAAAACTAATGCTAGTTTATGTCTATAACAGTTAGTAGGGACTCTGATTGCATCTTCAGTCTACTTCGGCACGGCTTGGTGGCTCCTTACCTCGGTGGAAAACATTTGCGATCCATCGAAACTGCCAGAAGGCAGCCCGTGGACATGTCCGGGAGACGATGTTTTCTACAATGCCTCCATCATTTGGGGTGTGGTTGGACCAATGCGAATGTTCGGACATCTTGGTTTGTACTCCAACATGAACTATTTCTTCCTCATCGGCCTTCTTGCGCCGGTGCCGGTGTGGATGCTCTCTCGCAAGTTCCCCGAGAAGACATGGATCAAGTACATCAACGTGCCTATTATCTTGAGCGGCCCAGGTGGTCTGCCAGCAGCAAAAACTGTGAACTATACGTGCTGGTTTGCTGTAGGCATTTTCTTCAACTTGTTCGTCTACAATAGATATAAACGATGGTGGGCTAGGCACAACTACATCCTGTCAGCAGGATTAGATGCTGGGGTTGCTTTCTTGGCCATTCTACTCTATTTTACCTTACAATTCAGGGACATCAATGGACCAAGCTGGTGGGGTTTGGAGTTGTCTGATCATTGTCCCTTGGCAGCTTGTCCGACTTACCCTGGCATTCAGGTTGAGGGGTGTCCTGTGTTTCAATGACAGGTTCCTTTATCAGCTTCTCTGGTGGGGTTAAGGTTAAGGAACATGACCATTGACACATAAAATTGTAAATTGATTCCCATTAGTATGAGAAACAATGCTGATCCATTGATGTTAAAATATGGCTAAATATTCCAAACCTCTCCTAGACCTATATTCAAGAATAGACAGGAAACTTAACGTATATTCAAGAATAAAATTGACTCAATTAATAATACAAGGAAAAATTGAAGAATTAATAAGGATAAATTGAGCTATTAACCTGGAAACTCGCTTCATCAAGCCACCATTTTTTGAGACAAAGCAGTTTTTCAATTTCAATCAGGCAGCAACAAGCAGATGGAGCAGGTTTTGCATGCATTATTGCAGTTCTGTTGCAACCTCAAATTTAAACATCTTCCCTCTCCCCTGGCCTAAAAAACACATTGGGATTAGGCTGCTTCATTATCATCATAATCTCATATCTAGCTACTGTGTGATTTGTGATGGTCGCATGGCTGCTAGCCTTCTGTTCATTTACTTCATGAATAAATTCAACAATCTTTCCTCAAACTATATCCGTCTCCAGACAAGCTCTGCAATGTTTCATGTTGTCTTGTAATTACTACGAGTGCTCCACCAACGCCAACTTCTTGCTATTTTCATACTTCATTAGCATCAAGTTCCATGCTGCAGGCAACAACTGTGACTCCCAATGTTGTTGTGGCTGCTGATGGGAGTGGAAACTACCGGACGGTGTCGGCTGCACCAGAGGGGAGGAGTAGTAGATACATTATAAGGATTAAAGCAGGGGTTTATAGAGAAAATGTGGATGTGCCAAGGAGCAAAACCAACATTAATTATGTTTGGGGGTGATGGAAGGACAACCACCATCATTACTGCTAGTAGAAATGTGGTTGATGGCAGCACCACATTTAACTCTGTAACTGTTGCTGCCGTTGGAGACGGATTCTTGGCCAGGGATGTAACATTTCAAAACTCAGCTGGACCATCAAAACACCAAGCTGCTGCAATTCGTGTGGGATCAGACCCATCAGCATTTTATATGTGTGACATGATAGCATACCAAGATACCCTCTATGTACATTCACTTCGCCAACTCTATGTTAGTTGCATAATAATGGGCTCGGTAGATTTTATATTCGAAAGCGCAGCAGTTGTATTCCAAAACTGTGACGCACATGCCCCGTCGCCTCGTTCCAGGCCAAAGGAATATGGTCACAGCACATCAATGACCCTAATGAAAACACAGGCACAGTCATCCAAAAATGCAGGATTGGTGCAACTCAAGATTTGCTAGCCGGGAAAAGCAGTTTTCGTTCATATATAGGCAGGCCAGGGAAGCTGTACCCGAGGACTATGATAATGCTAACTGAGATACGCGATATCATAGACCCTGCAGGTTGGTTTGAGTGGGACGGTAACTTTGTTCTTGACGCATTGGTCTATAGAGAGTATCAGAATACTGGAGCAGGTGCTAACGCTGCCAATAGGGTGGATTGGATAGGGTTCAAGGTGGTCACTAGAGCAACTGAGGTGAAACCCTTTACTGCTAGAAATTTCGTTGGAGGGGATAGTTGGTCACCTTCCACTGGATTTCCTTACGCTCTTGATCTTTGAATTCAAAGCTCAGCATATCTACTTATCTTATGTTGCATGTATCTTGTGCTTGCTGCACTGGAATCAAGTTGTTAGTTTTCCAAGTTGTAAACGTATTGATGAGTAATGAAAAGAACCAAGGTGCCAATAAATTCCTTCCAAAAAAAAAAAATTATCATCAATTTCCTTTCTAATGGTTAGAAAAGTTATTTTTTCGTGTTGATCTCATTTAAGAATCACAACTTCAAAAGTCCATATATAATCCATAAACTCTTCACTCAAAAGATATTAATTCCTCAATTTTCCACCAGGTCGATTTATTTAGCTTGCAGACCTGAGGTAAATTTTGGATATAACAGGGTTAGACGGTTTGGAATCTATGGCTACACACACACACACACACACAAAAATGTAATGGCACATCAAAATACATATACAAAATTATGATGGGAGAGGTACGAAAGATGAAAACGAACAGGGGATAGGACTAAAAAGCAACCTAAATGGCATCTATACATGAAGTTATTGGTTTCTTTGTCACCTTTTTCTTGTCTCTTCAATTCAGACACAACTCAAAACGTAGAGTTAGCAGCAAGTTATGCATGGCATTAACAGGCTAGCCATACATTTACCTTTCTCAACCACTGTGACAAAGATTTGTTGGAGCTTGCTGTTGTCTCTAAAATTTTGTCTTGCCACCTTTAATGTATAAAAACAGTGACGGAAATATTATTATTATTTTTTCTATATGGATTGTACATTTGCAATTTTGCGGTCCATTATATGCCCCAGATCGATGGTAGATGATTGCTTTGCATGCCGGCTTCAACATATGTTAAACTAGTTGAGCAGAGGATCCGATGAGAAGTGGCAGACATTGTCTGCTTCTGCTCCTTAGTGTACCAAAACAATTTTTTTTTTCCTAGCCTTTGTTGCAGCCTTTGAAATTTTATTTTATAATGCATATCTTAAAATTACAGTATATTTTATTATTTTTTATGTGATATTAAATTATTAGAAGTGTTATTAATTTATATATGTAATAAATTTAATTATTATTATATGATATTAAACTATTAAAAATGTTATTATTATGCTTAATTATTAAAATTGTTCAAAATATATGAATTAAAATAAATTTATTAACCGTTAACCGTTAATGCATTTATTGTTATTGTTTTTACTACCACTTCTGTATTTAAAATTACAAGTACAGAATGTGTTACTTGACGTTGTGGTTGATAGCAACCCCTGAACCCAGAAAAAAGAAAAGAACTTATGAATAATAAATTTAAGGCAGATCTTTTAATTTCTTATGTTTCACCAATATGAAAAAGCTCATCATTTCTCTGGTTAAATCCCCATGATAATAATTCTCCATGCCTTGTAAATGGGAAATGGAATCTTGACTGATTTTACTACACGAGGTTCCATGAATCAAATTTAGCATTCTCTGCTTGGATTTTTCTTGTGTCTCGTAATGGAAACAAAAGCCAAAGAATAGCTACAACTATGAAGCCAAGGAACCATATATGTTGAAACTTCTGTCGTTAGAAGTTCTTCAGAGTGTAGTGTAGTAGCCAGTAGGTAGGGCAAGCATAGAAGCATGGAGCATGCAGCGACTAATGGTAATGGGATTCCTCTTTCAACCAAGGCTAAGATGTTTGAAGAGGTAAACGATTCACCAATCGAGGAAGTCAAGCTCACAGTTCCGATTACAGATGATCCTACACTACCATGCTTGACCTTTCGAACATGGGTTTTGGGGATCACATGTTGTGCTCTTCTGGCATTTGTGAATCAGTTCTTCGGTTACCGTCAAAATAGACTTTATATATCGTCAGTTTCCGCTCAGATTGTAGCTCTGCCAGCAGGGAGGCTCATGGCAGCAGTTTTACCGAACAAATGTATTCGTTTTCCAGGAACGAAATGGTCATTTTCATTGAATCCAGGGCCCTTCAACTTGAAAGAACATGTCCTGATCACCATATTTGCAAATGCTGGATCAAGTCCTGCGGCTGCTGTGGCTATTATCACCATCGTGAAGAAATTTTATCATGGTCGAATAGATGTAGTACCAGCTATGTTGTTAACGCTGACGACTCAGGTGAGTGTTTCCTAAACTTCCTAGCAGGTTTTTCTTGTTCTTTCCTCAATATGCTTCATAAAACATGCTTATTTCCAATTTTTTTGGGAACGTTCAGTTGTTAGGATATGGATGGGCTGGACTTTTCAGGATGTTCCTTGTTGATTCACCTTACATGTGGTGGCCTTCCAATCTGGTTCAAGTTTCACTCTTCAGGTGTCTCCTGCTACCTGATTTTCTATCAATTTATAATTAGTATTCTCTTCTCTGATTCATTTTGATTTCAAACTCTCCAGGGCATTGCATGAAGTTGAGATCAGGCGTAAGGGAGGCCTAACGAGGCTGCAGTTCTTCCTCGTGGTCCTTATATCAAGCTTCGCATACTATATAGTCCCTGGCTATCTATTCCAGTCTATAACTGCTCTTTCCTTTGTCTGTTGGATATGGAAGGATTCAGTCACTGCCCAACAAATTGGTTCTGGTCTTCACGGCTTCGGGATTGGATCGTTTGCCATCGATTGGTCAACCGTAGCTGGTTTCCTAGGATCTCCCTTGGCCACTCCTGGATTTGCTATCATCAACAGTTTGTTTGGTTATATCATAATTCTCTACATCATAGTCCCCATAGCTTACTGGACGAACTCATATGATGCCAAACGTTTTCCCATTTTCTCCGCACATGTTTTCAGTGCTGATGGACAACCCTACAATGTTTCAACAGTTCTAAACGAGACAACCTTTGAATTCAATAAACAAGGATACGATGGCTACAGCAAACTCAACCTAAGTATCATCTTTGTTTACGCTTATGGCCTGAGCTTCGCCGTGTTGGCTTCTACATTAACTCACGTAGCACTTTTCTATGGGAGGTACGTATTTACCAACAGAATCTTAGTTTTTTTATGATGCTAACGTAGTTTTAAATCATGGACGATAGAAAAAACTGTCATGGTCACTATCGTGGATCACAACTTACTGTAATACAAAAATAACGGTAACAGGATGCTCCTAAACTATTATGTAATAGCCGTTATGCAACGTAACGGGTGTTATTTAAAACAGTGATGCTAATCTGCATTTCATCATCAGATAGCAGATCAATTTTTGTCTGATTACCTTGTCCTTCTGTTGGCAGGGAAATCTGGCATCAAACAAAAGCAGCATTTCAAGACAAGTACGCTGATGTCCACACTAGAATAATGAAGAAAAATTATGAAGCTGTCCCTCAATGGTGGTTTTACACACTTTTGATTATAGTAATCGGCCTGGCCATGCTTACTTGTGAAGGCTTTGGTAGACAGTTGCAACTTCCTTACTGGGGTGTCCTACTAGCAATTGGCATGGCTCTCATGTTCACCCTTCCAATTGGTGTTATTGCTGCAACTACAAACCAGGTATGATCTTGGCAGACAAAGTTTCCAACCTGTTTGTGTTTTCTGTTCTATTTGTGATCATATAGATGTCGAAATCGTTGTGCAGCAACCGGGAATCAACATTATCGCTGAGCTAGTAATCGGTTACATGTATCCCGGGAGACCCCTTGCAAATGTTACTTTCAAGACCTATGGCTACCTTAGCTTGTCTGAAGCAATTACGTTCCTCTCAGACTTCAAGCTGGGACATTACATGAAAATTCCTCCGAAGTCCATGTTTGTTGTCCAGGTATAAATTTATAGTCTTATATATTAGCCCACATTAGAATAAAAAGTAATGCTAGTTTGTGTCTATAACAGTTAGTAGGGACTCTGATTGCATCTTCAGTCTACTTCGGCACGGCTTGGTGGCTCCTTACATCGGTGGAAAACATCTGCAACCCATCGAAGCTGCCGGAAGGAAGCCCTTGGACATGTCCGGGAGACGATGTTTACTACAATGCCTCCATCATTTGGGGTGTGGTTGGACCAATGCGGATGTTCGGACATCTTGGTTTGTACTCCAACATGAACTATTTCTTCCTCATCGGCCTTCTTGCGCCGGTGCCCGTATGGATGCTCTCTCGTAAGTTCCCCGAGAAGACATGGATCAAGTACATCAACATGCCTATTATCTTAAGCGGCGCAGGGGGTCTGCCATTAGCTAGAACTGTGAACTATATGTGCTGGTTTGCTGTAGGCATTTTCTTCAACTTGTTTGTGTACAATAGATATAAAGGATGGTGGGCTAGGCACAACTACATCCTGTCAGCAGGATTAGATGCTGGGGTTGCTTTCTTGGCCGTTCTACTCTATTTCACCTTGCAAATCAAGGACATCAATGGACCAAGCTGGTGGGGTTTGGAGTTGTCAGATTATTGTCCCTTGGCAACTTGTCCGACTTACCCTGGCATTCAGGTTGAGGGGTGTCCTGTTTTTCAATGACAGGTTCTTTTATCAGCTTCTCTGCTGGCCTGGGTTAAGGTTAAGGAACATGGCCATTGATGCATAAAATTGTAAATTGACTTCCATTAGTATGAGAACCAATGTGGATCCATTGATGTTAGAATATAGCTAAATCGTCGAAACTTAAGACTTCAAGTCGTTTGAGAATTAATTTTTTAATTTTTAATTTTGGATTAGATTTCTTTCTAATTATTTTTCATTTTTCATTTGAATACTTATTTTAGGTTTTTATCGATTCTAATGATAGAATAACACGTAATTAATTTTTTAATTTTTCAATAGTTAAAAATATGTCAAAACTTAAGAATACTTTGATTTTTTCTCCAATTTTTTTCCTTCTAAAATATTTTTTAATTACTTACTTTTTAGTATTTAAGAGGGAAGAAATAATTTTTAGATGAAAAGGCAAAATTTTTACAAATTTTGGCATATTTTTAGCTTTTAACGGCTAAGAAATTACATTTACAAAGATGAAAAGCTAATAAAAGACCAATTTTATATGAAAAATAATTAAAAATAATTCCAATTAGAAATTAAAAATTAAAAAAATATTCTCAAATGACTTAAAATTAAAAAATAATTTCGATCGTTTAGCATTAAAATATTTCCATTTCTCCAAAAAATCAAAAGAAAATATGAATATTGGTTTATGTGAAGTCTAAAATCAAACAATAGCCTGCGTTAAATCTCAAATTATTTCTCCAGACTCCAGCTACGATTTGATTCTCCATGTAGTCCCCAAACTATCAATTTTCTCAATTAGGTCTATAAAGTATCCAATGCATTTGTCAATTTGGACTTTCGTTTAAAATTTCCAATAATTTTTTTTTTTTAGCATAAACGTCAAGATTTCCTGAAACAGGCGTCATTTTATTGCTTAATATATGCAATCTAGAAGAGAAATATTAACAAGCATCTACATATGGACTTAACTGAGGAACATCTAATACTTTTAGGACCCTAACAAATCAATAGTTGATTAAAAATCATATTATTCAAAAAAAGAAAAAGAAAATTAGCATATGAAAACGAAATACATTCACATTCAACGCCTTATAATTACATTTTTTTTTTTAACAAATAAGAGAGTAAGTAAATCAGGAACAAATAAAAAAAAAAAAACCCTAGAGAAAAGCAAATTAAGTAGCAAAACTATTTAACTAAGGAAGCTTAGCCACGTTGAACCTCCAAAAAGGAGGCTCGAAGAATTGACTTAGACCACCAAGACAATGAAAGCCATAAAAAGTAGCCTCTCAATGAGGCCAAAAGTGGTGGTCGGACCCCATGCAACAGAAGCTGAGGTTTTGACACCAGTAGTCCTACCTCTTCCAATATATCTACTACCACCACCAGCGCCGCTGCTTCCCAAGATAACACCACCACCTCTACCACCCTTAGCGACAGCTGATGTTACCATCAAACCGACGATTGCTACTAGAAGAAGAAATCTCTTGCTCACTTTGCTTGCCGAAACCACCTTCATCTGATCTATTTTTTGAACCACAAATTTTTGAGGGAGTTCAATATTTGTGGATAAGAGAATTGATCAGACACGAGATTTATGGATTGAGGAGACTGGAGTAAATTATAAATTAGTCCTTCTTGTTTTAAAAACTAATTATTCAGTCTTTATGCTTTTAATTTTTTTTTAAACTTAATACTTTTTGTTGTTTTTAAATTTATTTTAATTTTTTATTTTAATAAATTAAAAAGAATAAATAAATAAATAATATAGAAGAATTATGAGGAAAAAAATGATAGTTTTAAATAATATTAAATTAAACATGTTCAATACTAATTAAAACTAAATTGAAATAAAAAAAATTAATTAATTCATTTCTTGAAAATATAGGTAATAAATTATAGTTTACTCCAGACGTGTGATCATCTTACTTCCAAGAAAGAAGAGAAGAGAAGAGACCTTAGATGATATTTATAGGAAATATTGAATCAAGACGGCGTATGATCAAACAAATTGATCTAATTTGTTTAAAAATATGTCAAAACTTAAGAATACTTTGATTTTTTCTCCAATTTTTTTCCTTCTAAAATATTTTTTAATTACTTACTTTTTAGTATTTAAGAGGGAAGAAATAATTTTTAGATGAAAAGGCAAAATTTGATTTTTTAATTACAAACCAGGTATGATCTTGGAAGACAAAGTTTCCAACCTGTTTGTGTTATTTCTTCTGTTTCTGATCATATAGATGTCGAAATCAATGTGCAGCAATCGGGAATCAACATTATCGTTGAGCTAGTAATGGGTTACATGTATCCCGGGAGACCCCTTGCAAATGTTACTTTCAAGACCTATGGCTACCTTAGCTTGTCTGAAGCAATTACGTTCCTCTCAGACTTCAAGCTGGGACATTACATGAAAATTCCTCCGAAGTCCATGTTTGTTGTCCAGGTATAAATTTATAGCCTCATGTATTAGCCCACATTAGAATCAAAACTAATGCTAGTTCATGTCTGTAACAGTTAGTAGGGACTCTGATCGCATCTTCAGTCTACTTCGGCACGGCTTGGTGGCTCCTTACATCGGTGGAAAACATCTGCGATCCATCGAAACTGCCAGAAGGAAGCCCGTGGACATGTCCGGGAGACGATGTTTACTACAATGCCTCCATCATTTGGGGTGTGGTTGGACCAATGCGGATGTTCGGACGTCTTGGTTTGTACTCCAACATGAACTATTTCTTCCTCATCGGCCTTCTTGCGCCGGTGCCGGTGTGGATGCTCTCTCTTAAGTTCCCCGAGAAGACATGGATCAAGTACATCAACATGCCTATTATCTTACGCGGCGCAGGGGGTCTGCCATTAGCTAGAACTGTGAACTATATGTGCTGGTTTGCTGTAGGCATTTTCTTCAACTTGTTTGTGTACAATAGATATAAAGGATGGTGGGCTAGGCACAACTACATCCTGTCAGCAGGATTAGATGCTGGGGTTGCTTTCTTGGCCGTTCTACTCTATTTCACCTTGCAAATCAAGGACATCAATGGACCAAGCTGGTGGGGTTTGGAGTTGTCAGATTATTGTCCCTTGGCAACTTGTCCGACTTACCCTGGCATTCAGGTTGAGGGGTGTCCTGTTTTTCAATGACAGGTTCTTTTATCAGCTTCTCTGCTGGCCTGGGTTAAGGTTAAGGAACATGGCCATTGATGCATAAAATTGTAAATTGACTTCCATTAGTATGAGAACCAATGTGGATCCATTGATGTTAGAATATAGCTAAATCGTCGAAACTTAAGACTTCAAGTCGTTTGAGAATTAATTTTTTAATTTTTAATTTTGGATTAGATTTCTTTCCAATTATTTTTCATTTTTCATTTGAATAATTATCGATTCTAATGATAGAAATAACACGTAATTAATTTTTTAATTTTTCAATAGTTAAAAATATGTCAAAACTTAAGAATATTTTGATTTTTTCTCCAATTTTTTTCCTTCTAAAATATTTTTTAATTACTTACTTTTTAGTATTTAAGAGGGAAGAAATAATTTTCAGATGAAAAGGCAAAATTTTTACAAATTTTGGCATATTTTTAAGCTTTTAACGGCTAAGAAATTACATTTACAAATTAAAATCGATGAAAAGCTAATAAAAAGACCAATTTTATATGAAAAATAATTAAAAATTAAAAATTAAAAAATATTCTCAAATGACTTAAAATTAAAAAATAATTTCGATCGTTTATCATTAAAATATTTCCATTTCTCCAAAAAATCAAAAGAAAATAGGAATATTTGTTTATGTGAAGTTTACAATCAAACAATAGCCTGTGTTAAACCTCAAATTATTTCTCCAGCTACGAATTGAATCTCAATATAGTCCCCAAACTATCAATTTTCTCAATTAGGTTTATAAAGTATCATATGCATTTGTCAATTGGGACTTTCGTTTAAAATTTCCCTCTTTTTTTTTTTTTTTTTTTTTTTTGCATAAACGTCAAGATTTCCTTTAAAAAACATCATTTTATTGCATAATAATATTATTATACATATATTAAAAGTGAATATGGTTTCACTATAGCTAAGCCCTTGCTACAGTAAAATCAAAACGACGCCATTTTTTCAAAAAATAAGTTATTTTTTATTAATTTATCAGTATTTTATACTTTGGTCCTCTAAGTTATTATTTTTTATAAAACAATTCTTAATTTTCATGAATATTAGCAAAAGGTCCCTATCATTTTTTTTCGGGCTGAGTTTTTTTCATTAATTATTATTTAATCAAAATAATTTTTTTTCCATCATCAATGGTTACTTTTTCTATTTTTATAAATATTCATGAACTAAAATTAAATATTCTTCTAATATAAATTGATTAAACACCTCTTTCTAATTGGATTTTTTTTAAAATGATTAATTAATTGTATATATTTTTTATCTATCAAAATAAAAAATATTCCTAACAAATATTTCAATTCAATTATATATATATTAAATAATTTTTTTACAATGAGTATTAATTAATTTTTTTTATATTTATATTTTTAAATTATTTAAAATATTAAAACATGGATATGATAAACTTAACCGTGACAACGCGTAGGTATTGAGCTAGTATGCAATCTAGAAGAGAAACATTAACAAGCACGTACATATGGACTCAATTGAGGAATATCTAATACTTTTAGGACCCTAACAAATCAATATTTGATTAAAAATAAAATTATTCAAACAAAAAAAAGAAAATTAGCATATGAAAATGAAAAACATTCACATTCAACCCCTTATAATTACTTTTTTTTTTTTTAACAAATACAAGAGTAAATAAATCAAGAAAAAAAAAACCCTAGAGAAAAGCAAATTAAGTTGCAAAACCATTTAACTAAGGAAGTTTAACCACGTTTACAGAATGATTAATTTCGAGGTGTGCAAAAGCCTATTCGAAGATATCTTTCATGTTGAACCTCCAAAAAGGAGGCTCGAAGAATTGACTTAGACCACCAAGACAATGAAAGCCATAAAAAGTAGCCTCTCAATGAAGCCAAAAGTGGTGGTCGGACCCCATGTAACAGAAGCTGAGGTTTTGACACTAGTGTTATTACGTCGTCCATGATGTCTACCAGCAGCAGCTCCATGATGTCTACCAGCATCAGCTCCGCCGCTTCCCAAGATAACAACACCACCAAAACCTCTACCACCTTTAGCAACAGCTGATGTTACCATCAAACCGATGATTGCTACTAGAAGAAGAAATCTCTTGCTCACTTTGCTTGCCGAAACCACCTTCATCTGATCCATTTTTTGAACAACAAACTTTTTCAGGAAGTTTAAAATTTGTGGGTAAGGGAATTGATCAGCCGCAAGATTTATAAATTAAAGAGGCGTGGAGTAAATTATAAATTAGTCCTTCTTGTTTTAAAAAACTAATTATTCAGTCTTTATGGTTTTAATTTTTTAAAACTTAATACTTTTTATTGTTTTTAAATTTATTTTAATTTTTATTTTAAGAAATAAAAAAGAATAAATAAATAAATAATATAGAAGAATTATGAGAAAAAATTATATTTTTAAAATAATATTAAATTAAACATATTCAATACTAATTAAAAACTAAATTAAAATAAAAAAATTAATTAATTCATTTCTTGAAAATATAGGTAATAAATTATAATTTACTCTAGACGTGTGATCATGTTACTTCCACGAAAGAAGAAAAGAGAGGAGACCGTTGCTAGTTTAGATGACATTTTTGTAGAGTTAATTATAAATTAGTCAATCAATTTTTGAAAAAATGAATTAATTAATCTCTTAATCAATTTTGATCACGTTTCAGAAAATATTTCTTTATTTTTTTAAAAGTTATTTTTCATCTATCTATCCATATTTTTTTTACTTATTATTATTTTTATTTTTTAAAAAACAATTTAAATAAATTGAAAAAGAACAAAAAAGATTAAGTTAGAAGGAAATTAAAAATATAAAAACTAAATAATTATTTTTTTAAAAAGAACTAAATAATTTGTATCTCAAAACTAAAAGGACTAATTTATAATTTATTACATTTCTGTTGGATAATGTATGGTTAAGGAAAGAACTAGCAAAATTTTCTAAAGGAAATTGTATTCAAGTTGGCATACCATTTATTGAACTATCAAATAATTGTGATCGTGCCTATTAAAATGATATTTATATTTAAATATTGTGCTTAAAACTATAATAAAAAATTAAAATAAAATTTAAAGTTTTTAATATCTAATTTTAAAAATAATAAAAATAATAATTAAAAATATAATTTCAATAATTGTGATAATAGTAAAAATAATAAAAGTAATTGAAATTATAGCAAATAAGAAGATGAAATAGTAATGGTAATAAATATAATAAAGTAATATCAATATTAAAAAAAATAATTGAAGTCATCGAAATGACAGCAAAAAAAAAAAAAGAGATTTATAATCTACTCAATCAATGGATTGGATGATCTTTTGATGTCTAAAATTAATAGTATGATTTTGACATAAGCCATATCATTCAAGTTGGCATGCAATTTACGTGGTCGCTACAGGATACACAATTCCAATTTATGTGGTTGATCTATATTTGATTCTTGTATTATTTAAATTTTTTATTGAGATTCTTTCTTCTTCTTCTTTTTATATATTAAAACTCTCTTTTCTTTTTCTTTTGATAATTATTGATTCAAACTCTTTATTATAATATTATCAATTATTCATTTAACGTGACATATTATTATTATTAATAAAAAATCATCGTGGGTAAATAGGATCTCAAAATACTTAAATTAAAAACTAATTGTAATAATAAAGTAATATAAAAAAAGATGAAAAGACCAAAAGCCCATCGTCTTCATTTGTCAATAACAATCAACGACGGACCCATGTTGAGTCCTACAGGGGCCCGAACCCCTCCAACTTTTTTTTTTTTTTTTGCAGGGAATACTATCTTCTTTGCATATTTTTATCCTACTTTACCGTCTCAGACCATACATGCTATGTCCATTCATTATATGCATATTCAAACCATTTATACTTGCATGTATAACTGTAAATATGTTTGTCAATGTCATGGTGATCATACATATATGTCCATTTATTATATGCAGTATTCGATGTATTTGTGCATGCATATTTGAATGTAAACATATATGCATACGAATTTTTTTAAAAAAGCTTTTTTTCCTTCATGTAACAAAGTTGTTTCAATATTTAGTTTCATAACTTGAAAAATTTACAGATTTCGATTGAACCGCATTACAAAGTTGACATATTAAATGCTATGATGGATTCTCAATTACAAGAACCGAACAATAGATTCAATGATCAAAGAGTAAAACTACTCATTTGTAGTTCGACTTTAAATCCTAGAGAGATGTGCATATCATTTAGGACTAATGACGAGTTGTAAGTTGGTGTAGAAATTTTATTCTCAAGACTTTGTCGATCATGAAATGCTGCAATTAAAGACTTAATTTGAGCATTTTGATCATGTACGGAATCTTCCCGATTTCAAAACATTGTCAACTATATCTGATTTGCATTAATGGTCGACGAAAACAAGAAAATTTGAAAGTTATACACTTGTGTATAGAGTGATAACATTTATTCTTATTTTTCTAGTTTCTATGGCTACCACAGGATGATCATTTTCAGTTATGAGTATAGTCAAAATTAAGCTTCCTAACAAGATGAAAGATGACTTTGTTTTCAATTGTTTGTTAGTGTATATTGAAAAATAAATTGCAGAAAATTTTAGTATAAATTTGTTTATAGATGATTTTCGTGACTTGAAAAAATAAAAATTTCTATTTTGAGTGATTGTATTTTGAGACTATTTTAGAATATATATTAGTATGTTATTTATGATATATATAAATTTATGTAAACTATGATAAATTTATAAATATTTATTTTAACCCTCGTAAATATTCGGTCATGCGTCCGCCATTGATAGCAATGGATGTTCTAGCGGCAAGCAACACTTTGCAAAACCTTGTTAAATTCTAGATCCATGCAATTCAAATAGACATAATTTAGCAACAATAAATATGCTAGCAACTCAATAATAACATATAAATTGTGGGCATTGAAGATTCGACTCTTTTTGAAAAGAAAAACTAAAGAATGGAATCAGAAGAGTGGCACACACTTGAATCTACAACAAGTATATGATAATCCATCCTAAAAATAAAATTGAATTATTAATTTATATATTTTTCGGATTGAGAAAAATAGTTATAAGTTAATTAGAGGTTAATTACATTATCATTATAAATTAGAAATCTAAATTTTTGTTATAAATAAAAAAATTAGTTCCTCAACCTTATATATAAAAAAAGAGAAAAGAAAAAAGAAAAAAAGAGAATAATAATAAGAATAAAATGAAAGACAATTTTTTTTTTTTTAACCTTTCATTGCTTTTTTGGCAGTTTACACTTAAACAAAAAATATGCAATATGCATTATAATCTAAAGTTTATAACACGGTTTTTAATTTGATTTAAAAAAAATAATTAATAACAAAATATTTTTTTTACAAATATTCTCTCAAAGGTTTTGGTTGAATAAAATTTTTTATTAATTTCTCTCTCCTAAGATCACATTAATGCGTTTTCATGTAATGTTCAAATAAAAAATCAAATGCACATGTGTTTATATTATTAGATATTAAAATTCCACTAATTACACGTTAACATACGATAAAAAAATCTATATTTCTACGAAAAACATACGTTTTTTTGTCGAAATAAAAAAATTATATTTTAATTTTAATTTTTTTTATTTTAAATCTAGTAATATGGAATGATATGGTAATAGATATAGTGTGACAAGAAAAACAAAGGATATTAGTAATATTCAAATTAATAATAATAATTGAATCAACAATAAAAGAATGCATGCATTTACAAAATACACAAACTTTTGAGAAACATCATAAAAGATGATCACAAGCAAGATTCTAACTTGCAAAAGAGTATATCAACCTATTGACTCTATCTAATTACCTACAAACTATGTTCTAGCTGATCATCATATAATTTCTTAATAAATCTAATACAAAAGAAAGAAGATGCAAAAAGTTACAAGAGTATGCAACAAAATGGAAGCAGCATCCCTTGCAAGAGAGACACAACCTGAACTTCCTCCACCATGATTACCCCTTACTATCGGCACAACACCACGAGCTCCAGCTCCATACGGGACAGTACCTCTGCCTCCAACGCCAACTCCACCTCTACTTCCAGGGCTACCTCCTCTTGCTGGGGTGCCACGACCTTTACTCCCACCACTGCTACCTCTTCCTCCACCTCCACCCCCGCCGCCCCTAGCTGCTTCTGATGTTATCAGTAGGGTAATGATTGTCACAACGATGAGTACTGTCTTGGTCATTCTATTCATCTTCATCTTCACGTTTGAAGTCTTCCCTCCCTTGAGAGTTTATTTTCCTTGTGTCCTTTTTATGGTTGAAGAACGTACGTTTTGTTCAAAAAGGGAAGGAATGGATGTGTATATATATAGGAAATATTGAATCAAGACGGCGTATGATCAAACAAATTGATCTAATTTAGTGAAGGAAATAAGCCGTGTTCCGTGCAAAAGCTACTACTAAAATTCAAGGATCAAGTCCAAGATAAGATTGAAATTTCTTTCTTTCCGTCAATGATGATAGTTGCCAAGAATGACGACCTTTGAATTGCACTCATTTGAGTGTTTGACCTGTAAAAATCCATTCCACTAAAAAATCAACAAGATTTCGCTATTTTATTTACGTATTCGTCTTCCATAGCCACGCAAAGATAAACCAATCGAAACACATGTCCGTTCTCGCCCAGAGCCACATGCAACAGAAATGACATTGAGAAGGACTAGATGGGGGGCTTGGTCACCATGTATTTTAATCAGTAAATTATAAATTAATTCTTTTAGTTTTGAAAAAAAATTAATTAATTCTTGTTTCACAAAATAACTATTTAATTCTTTGATTGATATTGTTAACAGCTAATTTGATATTATCGTGTTCAAATTTCTTTTTTCATCAATTTCTACAGATTATTTTTTTTTCTATTCTCAAAATAAGGAGAATGAATAAAATTAAGTTACAAGTAGATTTAAAAATATTAGGAGTAAATAATTAATTTTTAAAAATAAAAAATTAATTAATTAATTTCTCGAAATTAAAAAAAAAATTAATTTATTTTTGGCAGCACAAAAACCATTAGTAGAAAAGAAGGAACCAAACCCATTTACTTCATTCTCTTCTTTTCATTGGGAATATGATGTTTTCTTATGTTTCAGAGGGGAGACTCGTCATAACTTCACCAGCCATCTCTACTCAGCTTTGTGCAAAAAACAATTCAAGACCTTCATAGATGATCTACTGGACAGAGGAAAAGATTTAGAAGCCCTCTTGAAAGTGATTGAACAATCAGATGTTGTTGTGATCATTTTCTCAGAAAACTTTGCAGAATCTAAATGGTGCTTGGATGAACTGGCGGTCAAAATAGTTGAATGCATGAAGACAATGGGACATATAGTTTTACCAGTTTTCTACCATGCAGATCCATCCGTTGTGCAAGGTACTGCTACTGGAAGTTTTGCAGATGCGATTTCTAAACATGAAGAAATTGCAAAGAAGGAGGAAGAGGAGTTGACTCTAAAGAAAATCCTCAAGTGGAAAGACGCCTCGATCATAGCACACATTGTTACGTGTTTTTATGTTATTGGTTATTATTAATTTTAATTTATTATATAAAATGAATAGTTAATGATATTATAATAGAGAATTTTAATAAATAAATTGATAAAAATAGAAGATTTTAATCAAGCTGAAAAATAATAAAGGATCTCAATAAAAAAAATTAGATGGGTTTTAGAGGAAATAGTCGCTGCATTTTTCTGGGATTTTTGGGTTGTAGCTACAGTGTTTTTGGTGTTCTTCATTTGCTGGGTTTTTTATTTCTTCAATTGTTAGCTATTTGATTCCTTGTTTCGGGTTATTTCTGGGTTCCATTTTGTGCCCAATAGATCTCTCAACTTCACCTTCAGGGATTTGAGGCTCAATTCATCAAGTTTTTAGTTTCTTCCTTAGGAATTCTGGGCAGGGGCTCGTCCGTTCTTCATCTGGGTTTTGTGTTCATATTCTGGGTTTTCATCTCTGGATTTCTATCTCCATTTCTGGTTCTGTTAGTCTCAATCATCCCCTTCCACCCTTGGTGAATCCCAAATCATCAACGGGACCTGCGAGAGTAATTATCTTCACTCGTTCCAGTTTAAAGAAAAAATTAGTCCCACCCGCAGAGTCAACAGCAACCACAAGGTCCCAAAATTATTCGTTATTCCCTTAGGTTCAGTCAGATCCCAGGCATACAGAAGTAGGATCCAATCATTAAGAAACTTCCAGGTGGATCATACTCACTTGTTCCAATCCAAAATCGATCCAACCAGTAAAAAATCAACATCAATTTTTTCTTCCAAAAGCTTAAAATTCCCGGTTCTGATCTTGAAAAAAATGAGGAATAAAAAAGGGGAACTGGTTTTGAGTTTGGGGTCCAGCCGTGAGTTAATTTTTTTGGGGGGAATCATGTGGGTTGGGCTTAACCCAACCCACACAAACTGAAGGGCTGGGTTGGCTTCAACCCAGCCCAAGCCTGGCGAATGGAATAGGGAGGAAAGAGGCTGGACGGGTTTCTATCCAGCCCTTTCCCTTTCCTCCAAATTTAGAAGAAAGCTGGAGGTAGTTCAGCCTTCACAAGGAAAAAAAAATGATGAATAAAGAAGTAAAGAAACGGAATGGTAAAAGTGAAGAGCTGGAAGTGAAAAATAATGAAACGAAATTGAAAAAGGGAGGTATGAGAGAAATAGGGTACAGGATAGTGGGTCTAGGGTCCAAGCTATTTTTTTTTTTAACATTTTTTTTATAGCTTGATCATTTTTTTTATTTCTCCTTTTTTCCTTTTTTTTTCAGTACTTTAAAGTTGGCATTTTAATTTTTAGGCGAACTTATTTTAGTGTTTTGTTAGGTTAGAAAAAAAATAATAAAAAATATCTTATTTTAGTGTTTTGTTAGGTTAGAAAAAAAATAATAAAAAATATCTAAAATTTTAAGAATTGACGTTTGATAAGAAAAATATATAAAATTAATGCTCAACAAAGTCTCCTATCCGATAGGGACCGACGTCACAAAAAAATCGTTTTAATCGGGATGTTCTCCGACACACGGATTGTGTTAAAGCTTAAAGTGGATCCGATGCTTGAATCGACGTGTCGTCCGACGAAGGGGACCGACGTTCATTTCAATACGATACCATGCCCCAAAACTAAAAATTCAAGTTGTCTTTTAAAAAAAAAAAGGGTTTAAAAATTAGAAAATAATTTGACATAAATAAAACATTTTAGGAGATGAATTTAGAATTAAACTAGACGTGGTATCTTTTTTCGTAAAGGACGAGTTTTTGGTGATTAAATATCTTTCCAAAAGTATAACCAACTACTTGCCATAGAATCTCCGAACTAATGCCTATTTTTAAGTTCCTAGTTCCTTCAATACTAGGTGATGACTCCAAACTACGTAAATAATTAATACCTTAGATTTAATCTTTGGTGAGTCCCGTCCGACATCGGTATCGATAACCATGATGAGTGTTTAAATGTGAAAGCATATTATCAGTGTAATGAAGAGGAGGGACAGAATCAGTAAGTATATGAGAAGATGAGACAGAATCAGATAGAGGAAAGGACATAATAGGGGAAATCAAATCAGGTGGCACAAGAGAGGAAGGTGAAAAAGAAGGAAAAGATGAAGGAGACACAGAGGAGTAAGGAAAAATATGCTCATAGAATTTAACATCACAAGAAATAAAAGTAGAATGACTTTCTAAATCGTAGAGTTTGTAGCCTTTGACACCCATAGGATATCCTAAGAAAACACATTTTCGAGCTCTGACATTGAATTTCTTGCGATGAGTTAGTAAGGTAGTTGCAAAACATAAGCATCCAAAGACTCGAAAGTGTATTTAAGATGATGGTTTCTAAAAAAGCAACTGATAGGGAGTTTGTTTTTGTAAGACTGAAGATGGCAAACGGTTAATGATATGAATAGTTGTAAGGACAGCATCACCCTAGAATTTTAAAGGTAGAGAGGACTGAAACAACAAGGACATAGCAACAACCAAGAGATGTTGATGCTTCCTTTCCACAACTCCATTCTGTTGTGGAGTCCCAACACAAGATATCTGGTGTATTATGCCTTTGGAGCTATAAAAATCAAGCAAATTGAATTCTGGTCCATTGTCAGTTCTGAGTTGTTTAATAGTGGAATGAAATTGAGTACAAATGACATTGTAGAAGGAAGGAACTAAGGTAAGTATATCAGATTTGTGCCTCATTAAAAATATCCAAGTAAACCTAGTATGGTCATCAACAATTGTTAAAAAATATTGATAAGCACCTATGGTCGAAGTGGAATAAGGTCCCCAAATATCCATATGTATGAGTTCAAAAGGGATAGAATTATTTTTGATATGCTGAGGAAAAGGTAATCTCTTTGATTTTGCCAATGGATAAATAGTTCAAATTGTGTTGGGATCGCAATGTATAGAAGCATCTAAATGCTTAGGAGAATTTATTCTATCAGACGAGGAATGACCCAATATGTAATGCCAAAGATCAAAGTTGGAACAAGCAGACAGATTATTAACAAGAGAAGCAGAAACTGACGAAGGAGATGATGATGAGCAAGACAGCAGATACAAACCAGATTGTATCTCAGCAAGCCCAATCTTGGTCTTGGGAATGGAGATCCTAAAGAATACAGTGATCACCACTAAACAATAAGTGGTACTACTAAGATTTGGTAAGCTGATTGATAGACAAGAGATTGAAGGTAAAAGCTAGGCACAAATAGAACATTATGCAGAATAATGTTTCCATTTAGAGTTACAGTGCCACGAAAAGTAACAAACATATGAGTATTGTTAGGCATTTTTACTAGAGCGCCTGTGATAGGATAATAGGAATCAAACAATTGCAAAGAACATGTTATATGATCACCGATGATCACCAGTATCCACAATCCATTGTGTAGAGTTTAACAAGATTGATGAATTACTGGAAAAATTATTCAAGTAAGATGTATGAAGAATGAAAGAAACAGATATCCCTGAGGCCGAGATTTGTGTGTGATTTAATGGTGAGGAAATAGAAGTGGACATGGTATTAGTTGATGTGGGCTGTGAAATATCTTTATTAAGCAGAGAGATAAGTTTCTGAGCTTGATATTAAGACAAACCAAGTTGAGAAATAATATTGCTAGAAGAGTCACCATCAGATATAGTATTATTCACTTCTGGTCGACCAGAGCCAGTAGTATATCTGTTCCAAATCCCATGAGTAGAATTCACACTAGTAGCATGAGATTGTTGATATCTTGGTTGTCCTCCTTGAGATTTGGTGAACTTGAAATGAGATGGAAAACCAATAATCCTGTAACAGGTCTCTTTATTATGACCTGGTTTCTTGCAATGAGAACAGACTTTATCATTCTGAAACCACTTCTTGTAAGAAGGACCTGGTACTGCCATGGCTGATGTTTCTATGAAAAGTTAAGAAACCAACTAAAAAGATCTTTGAGATTCTGCTCGCAGAACAAGATTGAACACTTCATCCAAAGAAGGAAATTGCTTCATCATCAGGATTTGAGAACGAACAGCAGTGAATGAATCATTTAATCCATTGAGGAGACGAAAAACATAATCTTGTTGTTGTTGAGTAGCAAAGGTTTGAAAACAAGTGTCTTTACATGTACCACACTTGCAATCAGGCACAGGTCGATAATTTCTAAGTTCTTCCCACACACCATTCAACTCATTAAAGTAGTCATTGATGGATCGAGTTCCCTGAGTACTAGTGCACAGGTTCAATTGTAAGTTACAGATCCTAGCATCATCAGGTTGAGAAAACCTTACTTTTAGTGTGTTCCAAATCTTCTGAGCAGAATCCATATAAAACACAGTACTAGCAATCGATTAAGATAGAGACTTTAGCAACCAAGCAACAATTAAATTATTGCATCTATTCCAAGCAAAGAACAAAGGATCTCCAGGATCAGGTCGATTAATATATCCATTAATAAAGCCTTCCTTATTGCGAATGGATAGGGCTAAAAAGAAAGATCTGCTCCAAGAAACATAATTGGATTTTGTGAGCTTAGGTGTGATAACAACAGTATTGTGATGCTCTGAATGATGAAGAAAGAAATGAGAGTGAGGATCTTCAACAGGTGAAAGCAAATATCCAGTGAAAGAGGGACTAGATGACATTGTTGAATCTTCGAGATGCTCGAAATCAGGATCAATAAAAGAATCGAGAAGTATAGATGCAAAGAAATCTGTGACTAGAATTGAAAAATGTTGAGGAAATCACAGGAAATCAAAAGATAAAAGGTGTTTGGGAGCCGAGAAAGTGAAAGAAAGTATGATGTAACTGCTATAACCACGTGCTCTGATACCATATGAGGAGCAAGAAATGATGAAACTAATTTCTGTTATTTGTCAAGGATACCAGTGCTATTTATATATACATGCAGAACTGCTGGCAATATAGCAGTAATATATATAACGGAAAACTAATTAATAACTAACTATTTATTTACAAAAGTTAGTTAATGATGAGCTGGCATTCCCACATCCGACCAAATGTTAATATATATATATATATATATATATCAAAATAATAATTATTATCTCAAAATTATTATCACCATCATTATTGATACTTAAAATTCATGTAATCATTATTGGCTTGTAACCATTGCCTAACAAGTGTCTTCTCACGATATCATAATCATCATGTTACCGACATAAATATCATTAGAACAACATTAACTAAAATTGCATATGTTATTACCGCTAATAACATATCTTACATTTATCCATTTGTTTTTACTTTTTTTCTAATGAAGAACATAATTGAAATACTATAAGAAAGTAAATAAAAAAAATCAATCCAATTCATGTATAATAAAATTTTCAACGACTTAAGGGATATTGAGATTGGTTCAACCGATTTTTCATACATTTTCATTGTTTTTTTTTTTTTCAGTTTACATTTAACACAAAATAGGCAATATACATTATAATCTAAAGTTTATGACACCATTTTTAATTTGATTTGAAAAAAATAATTAAAAACAAATATTCTTTTTAGAAATATTCACTCCAAGTTTTTGGTTGAATAAAAAAATTCATTAATTTCTCTCTCCTAAGACAACATTAATGCATTTTCAAGTAATGTTCAAATAAAAATTAAATCAAATGCACATGTGTTTATATAATTAGATATTAAAATTCCATCAAATTACACGATAACATAAAAAAAAAAATCTATATTTCTACGAAAAACATAGTTCTTTTGTCAGAATAAAAAAAAATTATATTTTAACATTTTTTTTTTTTTTATAATTCTGAAGTAGTATAGAATGGTTTGATAATAGATATAGTGTGACAATAAAAACAAAGGACATTAGTAATATTCAAATTACTGATAATAATTCAATCAACAATGAAAGAATGTATGCATTTACAAGATACAGAGACTTTTGAGAAACATATCACAAGCAAGATTCTAACTTGCAAAAGAATGAACCTATTGACTCTATCTAATTACTTACAAACTATGTTCTAGCTGATCATCATATAATTTCTTAATAAATCTAATACAACAGAAAGAAGATGCAAAAAGTTACAAGAGTATGCAACAAAATGGAAGCAGCATCCCTTGCAAGAGAGACACAACCTGAACTTCCTCCACCATGATTACCCCTTACTATTGGCACAACACCACCGGCTCCAGCTCCATACGGGACAGTAGAGCCGGCTGTACCACTGCCTCCAACGGGAACTCCACCTTTACTTCCAGGGCTACCTCCTCTTGCTGGGGTGCCACCACCTTTACTGCTGCCACCTTTACTACTCCCACCTTTACTCCCACCACCACCACCACTGCTACCTCTTCCTCCACCTCCACCTCCGCCTCCGCCTATCCTAGCTGCTACTGATGTTATCAGTAGGGTAATGATTGTCACAACGATGAGTGTCTTGGCCATTCTATTCACCTTCATCTTCACCTTTAAAGTCTTCTTCCCTTGAGAGTTTATTTTCCTTGTGTCCTTTTTATGGTTGATCAAGAACGTTTTGTTCAAAAAGGGAAGGAATGGATCTGTTTATATACAGGAAATATTGAATCAAGACCGCGTATCAAACAAATTGATCTACTTTAGAAAAGCAAATAAACCGTATTCCGCGCAAAAGCTTCTGCTTAAATTGAATGATCAAGTCCAAGATAAGATTGAAATTTCTTTCCATGAAGGATGATAGTTGCCGAGTACGACGACCTTTGAATTGGCGCCACTTTTTGATTGTTTGACTTGTAAAAATCTATTCCAAGCACTATTTATTTGCGTATTCATCTTCCATAGCTACGCAAAGATAAACAAATCGACACATGTCCATGCTAGCTTAGAGCCATCGGGCAATGAAAGGACGTTGTGAAGGACTAGCAATTGGCTTGGTGAAGAGATCATGATAACCAAGAAGCCGCGTACCAAATTATTTGAAATAATCAACATCAAGACTACGAAATCTCTTTTTCAATCATAACCCACTTTAACTCCGATAAATGACCTTTTGAATCAGTTTAATTGTAATGGTTGGACATATAAAAATCAACTTGAAAATTTGACTTGTCAATATTTCTCATTTTTAATAAATTAATAAGGTTTATTTTTATATCAATAGAAATTAAATTTATTATTTTTTATATCAATCGAGACTAAATTTATATTTTTTTACACTAAATCATTGTCAAAGTCAAATCAAGTATAGTATATAATGACTGATTGCAAGACTAAACTATTAGAATCTATTAGCGATTTATATCTAGTGTCATACTAAAACAAAGAAGTTTTTTTTTAAAATAAGAGTATAATCTCTAACTTGACGAGTTTGTGACATTTTTGTTATTCTTCCATCTATAATTTTCGATGGTTAATAAGATGTGAATTATATACATCTTTCATGTGCTACTGGCTTTTGGTCTTGGACGGACCTGAATTTTGCCTTAAAGGCTCAAAATTTTCTTTTGAAAATAATACATGGATGTGCATATTCTAGCTGCAGAATTAGTCGAGCTGATAAAGAAATTAAAGAGAATCAAATTAGGGGAAGTTTGAAAAGATTAATCCTTTATCATATATCCTTAATATCAAAAGGATCCATACGGCCACCTATTCACCTTATCTATGGTTAACAAAAGAGAATGAAAATCAAAAGAAAAATACGCAATTTGCAAGGATTATCCCCTCTAGCTCTTCTCTTGCAAGTGCAACTGAAGCCTTCCCTCACTCAGCCACCTTCCCCCTCCTCTTCAGGCAGCCCTTAGCCATCAGCCACCTCCCCTCCCCCTTCACAATCGATAGCCTCTCGAAGTACCTCGGACACATCTTCGGCCCCTCCTCTTCCAATCTTCTGCTCTTCTCCAATTCTTAAGCTTTCAAGACTTCAAGTTCATGGTGAGTTGATTTTCTTTCCTTCTAGTTTTATGTTCTTCTCTAACTCTTGTCATTTTTTTTTTTATTTCGATGAAATTATAGAGCTCAAATTTCAACAAAATGAGTTCTATGTTTTGAGTTATTGCTCACCAACTACTCTTTGGGTAGTATATAGGTTCTATTGTGAATAATTTTGTCTACTATTCCTTCGAATCAGCATTTAGCACTAGAGGAAGAGTTCTTCATGATCTCTTTAGGAGTTTTATAACCCCTAACGTTGTGCAAGATCTTATATGTACTCAAGATTGGCTTCGAAATTCATTGGTGCTAATTAATATATGCTAAAAACGATTTGCAAGATATTGAGAAACTTCAAATCGATAATTTTTTCAACTCTTATATTGTCATTTATCGTTTTTTTCCTTCAGAATTAATACTAAATTGTTGATTTTTTTTTAGATTTCTTAAAACTTTCAACGGAAGCACCTATGATAGATATATGATAAATTGATGGTGTTTTGATCTTTTGAATGACATGGGCAAGTTTCTAATAAATTATCTTTATGTGTGTCCATGTTTGTTTGTAAATGTTTTCATATTTTATAAAAGTGACATTTTTCCTTTTCTTTGCGAGATTTGGTGAACTTTTTGCTTGATCTTGACTATTTATGAGAGTTCCTTGAATTATTTTACTTGTCAAGTTATCAAGTTGTTAGTGTTGAATTGTTGCTTTTGTTGTAATTGTTGAGAGTGTCTCGAATTGTTGCTTTTATTTTGTTGAATTGTTTTTGAATTTTCTACTCAAGTGTTGGCATTTTGCCATTTTGGTGCTTTTGCAAGGTAAAAATATGGATTTTGTGATATGTGTTTATTGGTAGTTTTGGACTTTCTATTTGATGTTTTGTCAAGGTAAAACAACAATTTCATAGGTTAATTTCTCCTTGTTTTGAGACACACCCCAATGCACACATCAAAAGTGGAACTTTTGAGGTGGCATTGAATTTAATGAAGTAATGAATAATCAACAATTCAACATAATTACGCACACAAATGTCTACTAGCTATTACTACTCGTACTACATTCTTCATCCAAGAATACACATGGATGCATGCTTATATGGATGTCGTAATGAATAATCAACATAATTATGCACTTAAAGACATTTTAGATCTCAAAAATCAAACACATATTTTTTTCCAAGTTTTACAAAAACAAAATGTAAACGGGTAAAAACTGAATTACTAAAACCAAATAACATTTTGGTTCGGTTTTGTTTTTTGTTTTTTTTTTGAAATTCGATTAACTAAAAATAGTTCAAAATTCGAACGAACACCCCTAGCTATATCATCTTCCTTGGATCTTCTCTGATTTCTCGATGATCCAAGAAGTACTATGTTGTTTCTCGATCCACGACCGAAGTTGAATATAGAGTCATGGCAACCATTGCTAGTGAAATCATTTGGCTTCGTCACCTTCTATCTAATTTTGGTGTCCTTCACTCTGCCCCTGTTTCATTGTTCTGTGACAATCAAGTAGCCCTCCATATAGTTGCCAACTCGATTTTTCACGAGCGCACTAAACATATTGAGATTGATTGTCATTTTGTTCGACAACACATTCGGTCTAACCTATTGTTTCTTCAACTGATTTCGTCATAGTTTCAATTGGCTAACATCTTCATCAAAGCCCTCCAAAGCCCTCATAATGGATCTCGTTTCTCACATTGTTAGACAAGTTGGGCACTTTCAATCTCCATGCTCCAACTTGAGGGGATGCAAGCTATTTGAGGAAGATACTAGTTTTTTATTCGCGTTATGCTGCAGATTCGGACAAAACTTATAAATTTTAATTTTAAAAAATAATTTCAATTTGATAGTATATGTTATATTGTTGGTTACTAAAATATATTAAATATAAGGGCAAAACAAAACTATTATTTTTAAAAAAATTCTATATTTAATAAAATATTTATTACAGTTTTTTTATAAATTTTCTACTAAAAAGAAAATAATTTATTCTTTTATATCCAAATTCTTAACCGATAACTTATAATAAAAATTCTAAAATTCATGGACTCTTACCTAAAAACTTTTCTTATATTTTTTTTCAAAAAAATCTGAGACAAATTATCTAAAAAATACTTTTAATCTTTAGATTAACTTTATATGTATATATTGTAAATTATTTTATAAAAACATTTGATATATATAATCATGCTTCTATCATTTAAAAATTCAAAGAATTCATTTTATAAATTATATAAAAAATATTAAGAGAAAATAATCGTATTCTAAAGATATATGTATGTATGTGTGTGTGTGTGTGCGCGTGCTATGTATCATTTAAGAATAAAAAAAATCATCATATAAATTATATTAAATTTTTTAAAGAGCAAATAATAATATTTTAAAAAATCATTAAAAAATTCATACATAGATTTCTCTCTCCTCCATCATCTCTCTTCGTTTCTCTCTCCTCTTAGTAATTAGTAACTAGATTACAATACAAATAAAGTTACAAATCGAAATAAAAATTATTAAAAAGATGAGGGACTAAAAAACAACATAACAAAACTTTATGTATAGAATGTCCGAACAAAAATATTTTAAAAATGATTTATTTTGTCTAACAATAGTCCCTATCAGATAAGAGGCTTTATTAAACATTTTATGTACAACCATGCTATTATCATTTAAGAATAGAAAAAAATCATCATATAAATTATATTAAATTTTTTAAAGAGTAAATAATAGTATTTTAAAAAATTATTAAAAAATTCATACATAGATTTCTCTCTCCTCTTAGTAATTAGTAATCGTATTATAATACAAATAAAGTTGTAAATCGAAATAAAAATTATTAAAAAAAATGAGGTACCATAAAACAACATAGCAAAACTTTATGTATAGAATGTCCGAAAAAAACATTTTAAAAATGATTTTATTTTGACTAACAGCAGTTCCTATCGGATAGAAGATTTTATTAAACATTTTATGATTTTAATTTTTTCTTTTCTCTTTTTTTTTTATTTGATGGAAGGTCATCATCAATTCCAAAAAAATTAGGAGACTTAACAATCCTCCACTTTTTAATTACCGAGTCTAATTACTAAACAAATAAACTAAAGTTACATTAATTAAGTACATTAAAGAAAATTCAAATACTGATGTTGAAATTAATAACAAACATGTATAAAATAAATTCAAGGTTAAAATTAAACTAATTAAAATAATTATAGAAAATTTAAAAATATTAAAATCTAAATATAAAATTTACAAACATGCATAAAATAAATTCAAGATTAAAATTACATTAATTAAAATAATTAAAGACAATATAAAATTTAAATTATATAGTAAATAAAAAACATGCATAAAATTAAAAATTAAAAGTGAGACACTTTTTTTTTGTTTGGGCTGGACCAAATTTATTTTCTTTTATTTTTTTGACTGAGCTGGACTGAAATCAATCCAACTCAATTATACATGAGCCCAACCCACATCATTTTATTAAATCCAAGCCCAAAAACACAACCCAACTCATTTTTAAAATAAATCTTGCATAAAAACCCTTTTTTCTCTCTCCATCTCCATCTTTTCTCTCTCTTTTCTTTCTCTTTCCTTTTTCTTCTTATTTTTCCTTTTCTCCTGAATCTCTCTCTCACCATTGACAAACCAGCTCATCCATCTCTCTTCCTCTCCCCTTCTCTTTTTTTTTCTTCCTTTCTTCTTCTTCCTCTTTGCCGAATCCTCTCTCTCTCTTCTTCTTTTTTTTTTTATTCTTGCTTTCTCACTTCTCCCAAACCTGCCATGGACGAACCAGAACTGGTTTATCCATTCTCTCCCTCTTCTTTCTTTCTTTTCTCTTCCCTTCCTTCTCTTTCTTCTCCAATCAAAAATCCCCAGATCAATTTTTCAAAATTCTTACCCAATTTTGGCCAAACCCTAACTTTTTTATTCTTCAAAATTTTCTTTCAATTGGTTTTAATTTCTATTCCCTAATCCAATTTTATTTCAATTTCAAGAAATCCCTAAATTCTGAAACAAAGCCTAAATTGACAGTAAAATCCAAAATTAAGGAAATTACCTAGTAGAATTGATTGAAGATGATATGGATTGCAGCTCAGTTTAGGTAAATTCAGTTCTCTCCCTTTTTTTTTAGTTTCGATTTTTATTTTTTGAGCTAGTGTCAATTTTTTTCGAAAATCCTTTCCTCTCAAATTAACTAACTCCTCTGTTTTTATTTGTTGCTGTTATTTATACATGTAATTGTGTTGGTTCTTCACCATAATGGTATGAGATTTTTTCTTGCAGGATACATCGGTGCTTGGTGGGATGATATTACCAACAGGCCATCTTGGAAGAAGGTTTTTGACTTTTGGTTTCCCTGCTCTAAAGACCCTCTAGCAAGGAAGGCAGCCCACCCCACCTAGATAATTATGAGCTCATCTTTGAATAATGTTTGGGACTCTTTCTTTTTTCTCTTTGTCGTGTAAGGGTTTGCCTTTCCCAATTCGCATTAACTCATATCAAGTCATTTTGTTTTCCCTCTTGATTTTTCCTTTTTTTTTTTTTTTTTTTTGTCCTGTTTGGTTAGGCTTTTGTTGGTTATAGAAGAAGCAAAAGAAAAGCAAGAGGAGAGGGCACTGTTGTAGGAACAAGGTTGTCTACAATGTTGATGAACAGTAAAAAATCCACATCTTTTAATTTTTTTATAATTCATGCACGTTCTCTTACATAAACATCACATGTATGCATGCATGTAAATGTATAGCACGTGTACTATGATATGCATATATATATATATACATGCGCACTAACTTAATGATATGGTTTATATATGCACACTAGACAGATCATAGGAATTAGCCGGATCATAGGGACCGTTTACGCTATATTATAGGATCATAGCTTTTGTACTTTATATATGTTTTTTATTACCTTAATAAAATATACAGTGAATATATTTGGCTTTTCATGTTAGAGCTTAATCTTAAATAAATCTAATACAACAAAAAGAAGATGCAAAGAGTTACAAGAGTATGCAACAAAATGGAAGCAGCATCCCTTGCAACAGAGACACAACCTGAACTTGCTCTACCATGATTACCTCTTACTCTTGGCACAACACCACCAGCTCCAGCTCCATACGGGACAGTAGAGCCGGCTATACCACTGCCTCCAACGCCAACTCCACCTTTACTTCCAGGGCTACCTCCTCTTGCTGGGGTGCCACCTCCTTTACTACTCCCACCACCACCACTGATACCTCTTCCTCCACCTCCGCCTCTCCTAGCTGCTACTGATGTTATCAGTAGGGTAATGATTGTCACAACGATTAGTGTCTTGGTCATTCTATTCATCTTCATCTTCACCTTTGAAGTTTTCCCTTGACAGTTTATTTTCTTTCTGTCCTTTTTTTGGTTAAAGAATTTGTTCAAAACGGGAAGGAAAGAATGTGGGAGAGATAATTGAATAAAGACCGCGTATCTAACAAATTGGTCTAATTTAGAAGAGGAAATAAGCCGTGTTCTCTGCAAATTAAAAGCTAATGTGAAGGATCGGGTGCAAGATAAGATTGAAATTTGTTTCCACCAAACGATGATAGTTGCCAACTATAACGACCTTTGAATTGGCACTCTGTAGGTGTTTGACTTATAAAATTCCATTCCAAGAAGAAAAAACCAAGTCTTCCATAGCCAGTAGCCACACAAAGATAAACCAATTGAAACACATATCCTTGCTGGCCTAGCTAGAGCCACGGGCTACAGAAATGACATTGAGAGGGACTAGCTGGGGGCCTTTGGTCCAAATATATTTTAATGAGTAAATTATAAATTAATACTTTTTTAATTTTGAAAAAATTAATTAATAAATCCTTCTTGTTTCACATAATAACTATTTAATTAATCCTTTGATTGGTATTAATCAAAGTTAATTTGATATTATATTGTTCCCAAAAAAATGTTTTTTTCTTCATCTATTTCTCCAAATTATTTTTCTTTTTCTTTTATATATTCTCTAAATAAATTAATAACAACAAATAAAATTAACTTACAAGTAAGAACTATTGAGGGAAACTAGAGGAGAATTGAGAGAAAAATCATGAGAGAAGGCTCGTGGGTTTTTCTCCAATTCAATTAATAATGTTATTGTTGAAGAGCTAGCTTTCGATTTGTATTCCATCGATATTATCTTGAAAATTTATCAAGAAAGGATGAAAATTATGTTCAAGTTTTAGCAACTAGGTCTTATATATGAGCTGCTAAAGGAAGAAGGATGGATGCACAATTCTTTTTAATTGTTGAAAAGCATGTCTGTTGTTTTGCAAAAATATACTGTGACAATACACTTTTATATATATGTTGCTTTCTTCTTTTACATTACAAAATATTATATTAATTTTAATATGGACTAAATTGATCAATTTTTTTATAGAATAATCTGAATTTTCAATTTATCTCTATATTTCTAATTATATTTATTATGTTTTTAAATATTATTTTATTCTTCAATCTATCTTTCTAATCAATTTTTTACTATGGATAAATTTTTTAATCGAAATGACTCTGTTTGAAATAGAAAAAAAAAACATATTTAAAGTCACATAACATGTATGTTCTATTTTTTAGGTCTTATAAAAATTTTATTTTATTCTTTTGCATTTCAATCAAAAGTATGCCGATTAAAAAAGTTGCTCATAGTCATAAAAATATAGATTAAAGACTTAAATATTATTAAAAAAATATAAAGGATGTAATTAAAAATGTATGTACAAATTGAAAATTTATATTATTATATAAGAATGAATTGAATTATTTATGTATTTTAATATGGCTGAGGATCACTTTCCAATGCATCATCTCAATTATTCTGAAAATAAATTATAAAAAATATTTGGCAGAAAATATTTCTAAGCTAGGAAAGAAAATCACTTCTATATATATATATAAGTATAAATATTTATAATATAGAATCTTTATATGGAAAAAATGAATAAATTATAAATTAGTCCATTATGTTTCAAAAGCTAATTATTTGAGCATTTGATTAGTGATGGCCACTCTTAATTTAATATTAATTTATTTTTATAAATGTCTTTTTTTTCTCGTTCAATAATTTCATAGTTCTTACTTCTTAATTATTTTTTTAAATAAAAAATCAAAATAAATTGAATAAGAACAAAAAGGATTAAGTAACAAAAAAATTCAAAATATAGAGATTAAATTATTAGTTTTAAAACAAGAAAGGCTGATTAATTTGTTTCTCAAAATTCAAGAACTAATTTATAATTTATTAAAAAAATGTAAAAGGAAAGGTTGTTTCTATATATATATATAACACCATTTTAGTTTATTAGGATGGTGATATTAGAATCAAAATATGAAAAAACAAAGGGAAGTTAACTCTAAATAATTAAAATAATTAATAAAAAATAAATACACTGACAATAGCCACACAGAACTTGCAAGCAAGTTCCCATGAAAGAGTTGCAGCAGCAGAAGGATTTTGTCCTCGTTCACCATTATAGCATGAAGCTAGGCGATAATGATTTCATTGGAAGCAAAGAGTGAAGAAATTTTTGTATCTAGCAAATACTCTATCTGTTTTTTATATAATATTTAAAATCTTTCATCTTTTACTAAATTTCTAATTGGATTCCATATGTTTTTGAAAAAATTTAAAATATTTAACATGTCATTCCAATCAAATTTTTCGATCTTAGTTTTTTTTATCGAAATGTCCTTTACTAAAATCCAAAAAAAAAATTAAAAAGTCATGGGACATATTCTATTTTTTGAGTCTTTTATATATATCCAACACCAATGCCACCTTTGGCTGCTACTGATGTTAACATTAGAGTAATGATTGCCACAACTATGAGTGTCTTGGTCACTTTGTTTGCTGAGATTTCGAGCTTCATCTATACACAATACTTATGCACAAGATATAAAATACTATGCTCAAAAGAACAACAAGGATTATGGCTATTTGATGGTTTATTTTATCAAGAGAAAGTGATTGTGGTCTATATATATATATATATATATATATATAGGTTAGAGATCATGATAACCAAGAAGCCGCGTACCTAATTATTTGAAAGAATCAACATCAAGACTATGAAATTTCTTTTTCAATCATAACCCACATTAACTCCTATATATGACCCTTTGAATCAGTTTAATTTTGATGGTTTTGACATATAAAAAATCAACCTGAAATTTTGACTTTTTTCATATTTATAAATAATAAAATATTTTCGAATTAATTTTTTCATCAAGCAAACTAAATTTATAATTTTTTAAATTAAATCAATATTAAATCTTATTTAGTATTTGGTCGATTCTGAGATTCAAACTATTTACTTACTAACGTGTCTAGTATTAAAAAAAAAAAAAAAAGTTTTTAAAAATAAGAGTATAATCTTTGACCTGACAAGTCAGAGATATTTTTGTTATTGTTTCATCTATAATTTTTCGATAGTTAGTAAGATTTGACTTATATACATGTTCCATCCGCTATTGGCTTTTGGTCTTGGACGGACTTGAATTTTTCCTTAAAGGTTCGAAATTTTCTTGTGAAAATAATACATGGATGTGCATGTTCTAGCAGCAGAATTAGTCAAGCTGATACAGAAATTAAAGAGAATCAAATTCGGGAAGGTTTGAAAAGATTGATCCTTTACTATATATATATATCCTTGATATTATGTCAAATCAAAAGGATCCTTTCGGCCGCATATGCATCTTTTCTATGGTTAACAAAAGAAAACGAAAATCAAAAGAAAAAGACACAATTTGCAAGGATTATCCCATGCATGCAACAGATCCGGAAGCCGGACGATGTTATCCACCTCCTACTCTTACTATTCCTCCTCCACCTCCACCTCTTTCTCCGCCTGTAAAGCCACCAATCTGTAATGGTGATGAAGCTGCTGCTGCTCCTGAAGATGTTACCATTTAGGCAGTTATTATATATTGCTACGTACAATGAGTGTCTTGGACACTTTGCTTCCCAGCATCTTCAGTGCAAGAAAGTTTTTGTTTCTTTTTTTTTTCTTTCCGTATAGACTAGAACAGAATTTAATTTTATAGTAGGTGAAGACCTAGAAGATTTCGGAAATTAATTACAAAGATACATATAAGCAATCAAAATCAAGAAAATTTATTAAATTCATATGGATGTATTAGGAAAATATTGCAGATGGTGTATCCCTAAAATCGTTCGAAAAACGACTTAATCTCGATTCATATAATTAATGCTAGCCTTGAAAACGTCTACGTGACTAAGAAAACAAGTACACAATAAGAAATTATAGACGAAGTTATACTATTTAAGCATGGGTGAGAGGAGGCATCTGATCTGCCTCCACCACCGCGGCTACCACCACCACCACCAAAGCTCCTTCCTCTTCCGCGAGAGCCACCAAAACCTCTGCCAACAGAGCCTCCAATACCTCTGGCATTAGTGCCATCGAGGAAGATAAGGCAGATAAGTAGGAGCACAACTATCACTCTTGTCATCTTTGATGCAAAGTACTGCTTGTTACGCATCATCTTCTCTTTAATCATGTAGTACTGCTGTTACATGCATGCGACAAGATTAATGTTAGTTAATTAAATAGGTTTTTTTTTTTTTTTTTGAAAGATAATTCCTTCTCTTTAAGAGGAAAAGTTGAGATTTTCCAATAATTTCGGACCCAACTAAAGAAACAAACAAAGTTGTCCAAGAATTAACAATCCATAGGGTTTTTCTCTTACTGCATTATAAGTATTTCAATTACAAACACGAAAAGCAAAAAAAAAATCATTAAGATGTCTATATATATATATATATATATATATATATATAGCAAAAGATGCAGAAGCAATACCTTGGCTAGCAAGTATGTAGGAAGCTCTTTTTTGTGTATTATGAAATGAATTAATCCTTGTATATATATAGAAGAATAGAAAACCCTATGGAGTTTGTATCGACGAAGTTTCCTAATTTCCTTTAGGAGTTCGGCACTTGAAGCTTCTTTTCCTCTTATTTCTCTTTGTCTTTCCTCTTTGTTTTTGAAGATATAAATGTTACAAAAACATGGGAACATTGAATTAATTAAAAAAAAGAAACCAACAATTTTAAAGTTTAATTTTTTTTAATAGTATTTATTGAAGAAATATTTGAGCTAAGACAAAAGAGGGAAAAAAAAAAAAGATTGAGAAGGTAGCTAAAGGAAGAACTTAGAAAATTTTTTTAAAAAAAATTAGAGTTTTGATTTGGATTCTATTAATTTTTAATGATTGACTAATTTTTATTAGAAAAGCATTGCATATTTTTATTTTTTAATTAAATCTTTATTTTTAATTAACTTTAATATTATCAACTAGCAAAAAAACTCGCATTTTTTTTTTATGGCAGTATCAAACTCGAATAAATTCTTATAAACTCTATAAAAAAAATCCCTAATACTTATAAAACAAATCTTGAGATTTAATATATATATAAGAAAATCTTTGTTTTTATGGTGGGCCTTAAATCATGAGACACTTTCTATATTAATTACTTAATCATCTGATTTGTATTGATCAAGCTTAATTTAAAATTTTCTTCTTTTCTCATCAATCTTTCTAAATAATACCTATTATAATCTTTCCTTTTGTTTATTTTTTTAAAATAACATAAAATGAACAAAAAAAATTAAATAATTAATTTTTGAAATAAGGAGAACCAATTAATTTATTTCTTAGAACTATATTTTTTTTCATTTCACATGAATACGAATATTATTTATTTAATTTTGTTGAAAATCTTTTGCCTTTCTTAGGATTAAAGAGTTTTATCAATTTCTATACGAGGGAAAAAATTGAGAAGAAATTAATAAAATCCATATATTTTAAGGAAGTAAAATAAATTAATCATTTTGTGTGTGTGTGTGTATACACACACACACAAAATGATTAATTTATATATAGAAGAACAGGAAACCCTAAATGGAGTTTGTATCGAGGAAGTCTCCTAATTTTCCTTTACTCATTCGGCACTTTGAAGTTTCTTTTCTTCTTCTTCTTCCTCCTCCTTCTTTTCTTGTTTTTTGTTTTTGTTTTTTTTTTTTTTTTTTTTTTTGTCTTTCCTTTTTGTTGTTAAAGATATAAATGTTAAAAAAAACATGCAAACAGTGAATTAAATAAAAAAGAAACAAAAAAATTTTAAACTTTATTTTTTAATAATATTTATTGAAGAAATGCTTATAAAAGAAATTAACTTGACATTTAATATATATACATATATATATATATAAAAACCCTCTTTGTTTTTATGGTGGGCCTTAAATCTAGAGATGGTTGTTGGGTGCCTTTCTATATTTTGGGCTTCAAGCCTCCTTGACAATAGAGATCCCAAACATTCCTTCCACAGGAGCTTCTTATGGTTAAACATCCTGAAGCAATTGACAAATGACAACTATAATTTTTCTTTTCGATTCTTTTACTGATATCGCTGAGATTAGTGTTAAATGCTCAATCTATTCTTTTTTTTTTTTTTTTAATATATCGTTATATTTTTAATTGAGATAATTTTATTTTAAACATATACACTAAGTTTCCAATCTATCCTTTTATTAATATTTTCAAGACAAATCATCGAAATTATTCACCTGATTTAAGCATGATTAATTTTTATTTTCAAAATATTTTTACAAACTAATCAAATAAAAAAAATTCATGTGCAAATCACGTGATAATTTCGATATTTTAGCTTCAAAATCTTGCTAGAATGATAGATTAGATAAAATTAGTTTAATTAGATATATTAGAACATATTAGAGAATTATCCGATTATATAAAGATAGATTAAACCATTAACACTTAAAATTTTATTTTTCATTTGCTACCATGATTTATATTAAATTTGATTTTGCTAGCCAACGTTAGATGTTAGATTATGCATGTAATTGAACAATTCTAAGTGTTAGAAAAGAGGGGGAAAAAAAGAGTAAATTATAAATTAGTCTCTCTACTTTTAAGAAATAATTTAATTAGTTCCTCTTATTTTTAAAAATAATTATTTAATCTCTATATTCTTAGATTTTCTTATAACTTAATCATTTTTGTTTTTTTCAATTTATTTTAATTTTTTTTTTTAAGAAATAAAAAAAAGGAAAAATATGAAAATTGATGAGAAAAAATGATATTTTTTTAAAAAAATCAATAACAAATTAAATATAGTCAACACATAAAGATGATAGATTAAATAATTAGTTTTTGAATAATTAATTCACTTCTGAAAAATAGAGGGACTAATATATAATTTACTCAAAAAAATTATGGTATGATATACAAGGAAAAAAGTCTGCTTTTACCGTAGAATACAAGAAAGGACAACAAAATTGATCATTACTTGACAATGTCTATCAGTCAGGGACCCTCATTGTCCCCTACATAAAGATTCCTAGCTACATTTGATAAGAAAAGTCATCCATTACTGTAACCCTACCCCATGCACAGAGGAAAAATATGATTCCACTTTAGAAAATTGGCAAGGATTAAGAATGCAGCCATGAAAGTAAAGGGCCATAATGGATGGTCAGGATTGATTGTTTGGATACAAGAAATGAACATTTAGGGTTCAAAGAATTCCATGATTCCTCACCCACTATGCCAAACTTTTTGGTAATGTGTCTTATGCACTGAACATTAGCTAGGTAGCTAGATCTACATCTTTTTCATATCTTCAGACTTTACTGTAACAAAACATGGAAGCTCTCCTCGCCCAATTCACCTTGCTCTCCGACCAAGCTTGCCATGACAAAAACTTTGATCCCTCCTCCATTGATGACCTAATGAAACTCTTTGAGGTAGAAGCATACAACGCATGGGCAGCAATGGTGCTTGAACAAGAAGAAGAAGTCAAGGAAGCTGAAGTAGCTATGGAACAAGCTGAGGATTATCTTGATTCAGTCATGGAAAGTGCCATGGATGAGTTTAGGAGGTTTGAACTGGAAATGGAAAGCATGGCAAGGAAGGAACTGGAAAGTTTAGAAAGAACTGCTGATAGTGCTAGGAACATGGGAAATCTAATGGAGAAGGCTGCAACTATTGCTTCTAAGAAGTATATGGAGGCTGCACTTAATTCTGCTACTGCTTCCATGAAAACTGCTTGGAAGGGACTTTCCTCTAAAAAGGTTCATCCTTCATAAGAGACCTCTGTTTTTTCTTGATTTCTTCCTTTCCTTGTTCTAAAGAGCACATATAAAGGAGCTCTTTTTTCCTTGTACTTCGGATTATTAATATCCAGTTACATGATGAAGCAATCTGTAATAAATTCCGTATATCGAGGTAATCAATCAGTTTTCCTAGCAGATGAAAATGATCTTCCATCTTAGGCTGAGATTGAGGGTTGCTGGATAAAATGCAAGCAACATGATTATCTTTGAGGTTAATGAACCCTTGCCATGATTCCTTTTTTGGATGAACTCTTTTGCTTTGAAACTGTAGTCTTAAACAAAATTTCCCTTGCTTTGGGTGGGCGTAAATGCAAAATTTCAGATCAATTTCAGAAATCGACAGCCAATTCCTCAACCGATCTAGGTTCTATATGGAATCGAACTGCGCCTTCACTTCGGCTTAATAACTTCAGCAGCAATTTCTTCTATAAGATTTCTAGCAACATTTAGAAATGTATCAATATAGTTCACCAATTCAAGCTAGCAATGACTTGAAATTCCAGTATTATGAACATTCTGAAATGTTACTGTGAAAGGTGTCGTTAGATATCAACTATTTCGTGCAGTAGTTCTTCAGACCCTGCAAGAAACTGCGGCACAGGCGATGAACACAAATTGCCTCAACGAAAGTGACTAGCTGTTAGCTAACTAGTTTGTTTCGCTATGGTAAACTTCCGTACAATACAAGATGAGAAATATTCATCAGGGTTTCGGTTACATAGCTCTATAAGCGAGAAGCAACATGATGATATCTAGCATTATTATTTTTCTCGAATATTGAGAATTATTTCATCAAAGGTTTGTAAGAGAATGCCGGTAACAACATTCAATGACCTCTGAGATTTTAACAGAGTGAAAATAGGAATCGACTACCAGCACTGTCAACATGTCTATAAGAATGACAGGAAGGCAAATAATGAGGTTTATGGTCCCAGTAAGTCAAGCAAGTCAGACAACTGGCTTGTATAATAATCTGGCTGGACATTGTTTGATGGAGCTTGAAGAGTGGTTTGAGTTGTTACCCCTGCAAGTTTCAGCAGTAGTATTTTTTGAGTTTTCATTCAATTTAAGGGAAAGAGGAATTGCAAAAAGATGAGAAATCAGTCTACCTGAAAGAACAAGGAGAGTTTTGCAGCCAGCATTTTGTCCAAATAAAATATCAGTATCTAGCCTATCACCCACCATACACATTTTGGAGGTATCGATGTGAAACCTATAAAACAGAAGGCATATCATTTAAAAAATATTTCGGGCAATAGGAGAATATAAATTGTCGCCAAGTTAGTGATGATATCATAGCATGAAATGAGGATCCATCGTTATGTTGCAGACAATATAGTATTTCCAGTAACCATGCACAAGCAGTTAGTTTAAACCTATGATTCTATATGGGGTAATGAAACTAGTGAGTTGCGAATCCTGCCTTTTTAGGCAACCAAAATCCTGAGTTGGTGATGCATCTATGTATGTGAGTGCAGCCTGCAGAAGATAAACGGTGAAAAGAATAGGTGCAGAAGTACCCCATAAAATCAACTTACTTCTTTAATAAGAAGTCCATCATAAAGGTTGATGGTTTTCCAACTACAATAGGCTCTCTCTCAGTTGAAGCACACATGGCAGCAACCATACAACCAGCACCTGAAAACCATAGCCGAAATTATATGGGCCAAACTGCCAAGTGCATAATCTTATGATATAAGCTCTAATTACTTACCAGGCCACTCCTGTAAATCAGTCATATGTCCCACTGCATCACGATTCGTAGCAATAAAAAGGCAACCTGGATTCTCACGTATGCATAAGGTTCCATACCTGCCAATTCAGTATCTACCTTGAAACAAGAACCATGTGGTTTGATAAAACTCTTAATTTTTAGTATATTGCAGCCTCAGCAATGAGATGTCTTGTAGAATCAAATTCCAGATCAATGTCGATATGACAAAGATTTTGCATTGACAAAGGAATTTATCCTTGGATCTTAGAGAAGCTGAGAAGTGATTTATGCTCTGTTGTTACCTTAAACAATCGATTTCAAATTGTAAAGGAATCTTGCTCAAAATCTCAAAACAGCATGGCCAAACCAAAAGGTAGCAGACTTAACACACTAGATGACAGAATGTAGGATTTAGAATCTCTTACTGAAGCTTGTAATAGTTGATACTTGGATCTATTCCAACCACAACGGCTCCAACCTGAGGCAGGAGTTGCACCATTACAAATCTCAAACAGGAAAACAGGGCTAAAAAGAGAAGTGAAATGCTTAACGAAATTGCAGCCAAGATGTTACTTTACATTTTTGTCATGTTCAAAGAGGGAATTTGGTTTCAGCTCTACTCTCTTTTCACCATCTTCCTGCAATAAATCAAAGCCACAATATTGTTTAAAACAAGAGCATATGGTAATTTGTTGTTCTGGTTACAGAAAAAACATAGTTGAAAAGGTTTGATCCCTTCAAGTTTAAATGTAAGCTACAAGGAAGTAACAGCAAAGACGAGATAGCTAATGCTTCTATGTTGGAAAACAAGATGAACATCTGCAACACCAATAGATAGAACAGTGCTGAAGACAGAAGTATGGTGAGTTATGCCTCCTTCCAACAGGGAAAAGCTACCATCAAAATTTTTATAAATGGTGTAAAAACTATTTCACCATTTTTTAAGGAACCTGACAGTTCCTCATTGTTTGTGAGGAAGGTTGGGCCATGTATACTCCTTTTGTTATGCTACTATTCTCTGGCATAAATAACTAACCACACAAGAATATGGCTTGCTATAATAAAATTCTGAGAGAAAGTAAGGGAGTGAAGTAGAAGATGGTTTAAATTTATACCATGCAGGTTCTAATAGCAAAGAAAAAAGGCAGAGCATGTATGCATTTAGAAGTGTTTGAAAGACCACTGTGCTGTACCATAATATCAAGTCTTTGTTCAATTTCAAAAGCTAGAGTTATGCTAGACGACAGTCAAGGTTGATAAGTTTTAATGGCCTGCCAAGAAAGGAAAGATCTATGGAAACAGGCATGGAACTTACTTAAGGCGTAAATTGGGGAAGGGATGTTAATTTAAGAATCCCTTGATGAAAGTTTCCCCATTCAATGCATTTCTTGCTAGATCAATTAAATCTTACAGAAACTCAAAGGGGAAAAAGACAAATAGAGGGTAATATTAAGAAGATGAGTACCAAATAGTTTCTGTAATTTAAGAATCTCTTGTATAGAATCAGAGAGAAAATCAAAAGAGCAACCAAAATCAATTGCAAATATTTGGAAGACTTACTGGGCCACCAAGACCTGTATATCCAGCAAGCCGTAGCTCTTCCAATATACCTTCCCCGCCTATCACATAAACCTGTAAAAAGAACAAAGGAGTAGCTGTACACACAAAGCTAAATGTGCAAAATACAAGGAATCATTTGTGCAGCAGTACGAATCACAGATTGTGCTATCATCCAAACAAACACAGTTTCAAACATTGGATACAAACCCATCTAGTGGAAGAATTTGTTCAAGTATTATTCAAGAACTGTAAAAGTAATCAAAAGGGTGTCTAAAAGTACGATCGAACCTTCTTTTCCTGAGGAAAATTATTGACTTTTAAGTACATCGCTGCCGCGAAAGATGAAGAGAATATCTCATCCTAGAATCATTCCACAATTCAAACACAAAACAAGCATCAAGAATGAGCTTTAAAAAAAAAGGAATCATAATTCCATTGAAATGCCATAGAAACAAACCTCATTAACAGAAATTCCAAGTGAATGGAACTTCTTGGCATATTGCTTTCTTGATTTTAATGAATTATTGGTCACAAAAACAAGTTTCTTTCCCTTAGAACGAAGCCAATCCAATGTTTGAGAGACCCCATCAATGAGTTTATCCCCTTTCCAAATCACACCTACATACATTAATAATCAAACAAATTAACATTCAAGACAAAATATGATATCATAACTCACCATTACTCGCTCAAAAAAAGATATTGGAAAAAAAAGGAGAATTTTTTGACCGAAAAGAAAAGGACTTTACCATCACAATCAAAGAGAAAGGCCTCAACAGAGTCGAAGAGAGACCTGCTGTTCTGAGTTGAGAGAAGCTGAGCAGCTCCTTTTGCAGTGTTCATTCTCTGAATTTGGAGCAACGCAACAGCACAGCAAGTATACTGCAGCTTTGGAAAGTGATGTGTTCCAAACTTTGGTGGGGTTGTGGGATTTTGACAATTGGCAGCTACTGCTTGGATAATGGAAGGGAAGCATTCTTGTGGTTCACACCACAAGAATATGGCCATTAGCCCAAAGCTTGTAGACATCTTATTGGCCCAAAATGTAAGCCCAGATCCAAATAGAGTTAGCCCATATGAAAATCCAATATCTTGTAGACATCTCATGGACTCACCATTAGATATATTCTTTATTTATATCAATGTATTCCAATTAAGTTTCCAATCTATCTTTCTAAACATATTTTTCAACAAAATTATTAAAAAAAATATTACATAATTTGTACTTGACTAATTTTATACCGGAAGTACGTCACCACTTATCACCATCCTCTCTTCCACCATATTTGAAATCCGGTAAAAAACAATACCACACCCTATTTTTAGGGATGCAAAGTTACGGATTTGTATTGTTAGATTTTAGTTTTAATGATCAAACGATGTCCGAGTTGATGAGTCACCAAAAAAAAAAAAAGTGACATATTTGATACTAGCCCGGTGAGTTAGGACTTGATATCGGTTTGAAAAAAGCTGAGAAAAAAATAAGAAAAACATATCTATTTTAGGGTTTAGAAGTGTAGGTCAATGGATTAGAGTTTTGATTTTAGATGAAACGGGGGAGGTTTTGGTTGGAAAAATAAAAGTTTTTAAGTGGTCGAAAAATTAACGAAAATGGTTGTTTTAGAATGATTTTGAATTGATTTAATTAGAGGAGAAGAAGAAAATGAAATTTAGAGGGAGAATAAGGAGAAGAGAAAAAAAAAAAGATTTTATATTTTTTCTTGGCTGAATACTGATAATTTGCACATGTTCATTAATTCGAAGAGAATTTTTGAAACAAAATTCATTACATATAGATTACGTTATATTTCATAATGGTTTTGTTAAAAAATATAATTAGTTTATTTTAAAATATAAATAAAAATTAAATGCTTTATTACATAAAAAAAAAACATAACCAATATTACACACACATATGTATAAGCAAGGAAAGTAAAAAGAGATAGAGTGCTTGAGGTCGTACCCCGTAAGAACCATTAGGATTTGATTCTCTCTGTGCATGTCTGTTATCCTTGCTGTGTCTTACATGCTTTTGGGCTTACAGGGTGTTTGGGTGATTTAAATGATTAGTCACAGTACTCACAAACTGACCCGGATATCTTGGATAAAAAAAAAAAAAAACACACAGAGGAAGGAAGGTAGACATGGTCACAGACGGGGATCACAAAGAATGCAAATAATAAAAAGGCACTAACTTTGTAATTTGGTACAGTCAGTAGGCTGAGTCTGACTGCTGACTCCTGACTTGGTCAGCCTTTTGAAGCACTTTTCAGTTCTTACCAAACCCAACACTCAAACTCAAGTCAGATGCCATGATGTCATGCTCCAAAATTTCCAATCTGACGGCTCATACTTCAGACAGATCCATCAAAGTCAATCAGTACGCAATTTTGACAAGCCAGAGGTGCCATTGCAGCTCATGCACTCTTTACATATAGGTCCTTTTCAAGGCTGGTGGCTTTGTGCCATTCCATCCTCGTGTCAATCACATTTGGTTTATTGGATTTCTCACACCTCATGCCATTTGACCGCACTAAATTGACTAAAATCTGAATGGGTTTTTCGTATGATTTGTAGCTACCATTTCATGGCCATGGGAAATGCAAGTGCAGATTAGGGTTTGAAGACTACATTGTAAAAACAGTTACGATCACAGATAATGATAATAAAACACTAAATAAATCAAATCATCCTTGAATTTCAAACTTAATTTTTGAAAATTTATGTTTTTTTAAAGATTAATTGATCATTTAGTTTTACGTACTTAATCTTAAAAATAACAATTACATAAATAGTTTCGGGATATAAGTTATCGAGTAATATATATGTATATATATATATTAAAAAAATTAAAATTATTCTAGATTATTTTATATTTTATTCTAGATTATTTTATATTTTTCTTGATTTTGTATATTTTTAATTTTTTAAAAGATATATTTTTTTATTTTAAAAAATTTCGAGATTTTGCATGGTTTTTATATGATTTGCAGCTACCATTTCATGGCTATAGGAAATGCAAATATGGATTAAGGTTGGAATCATTTGATCGTAACATAGTTTTAAAGTACAAATTATATTGTAAAAACAATTATGATCATCATGATCACGAATCATGATAGTAAAATAACAATAACAAAAATTAATATCTTAAATGTATTAAGAACGATATATATATATATATATATATATATATATATATATATATATATATATATATATATATATATATATATATATATAATCAAATTTAGAAGACTAATGTAATAGTTATTATTTGGATCGCTACCCATCAAACAACTATAATCACCAGAATGATTGTTATATAATATCATTATTATTTGAACGAAATATCATCAAACTTTCTATAATAACAGATATGTTCAAATCCCGCGAATAACCATGGTTATGTTATTATTATTATGATCATGATTGGTAATTGTGATAGTAAAATAATAATAATAAATTATTAATAACTATGACTGTTATATAATGTGGCTATTTATTTTTATTTTTAATAAATAACCATGGTTACTTAATTTGAAACCATGGAACATGAGTTTCAGTGACACGAGGCAGAGAGACAGATTTTTGTGTACTTTGCAGTTAGCAGGTGTGATTCTCATGGACCAAAACAAAAGGAAGAATCCAAACCCCATGTGATGTAATCACCTGCAGCCACGTGGACGCACTCTTGTTTTGTCGGCCGTGTGATTTTTGCAAAGATTCTGATTGGACATTTAGCCTCCACGGCCGTTGAACATGAAGCCTCAAATTAATGGTAAACTACAGGAATGCCCTTCTCATTGTTTGCTCGTAATAATCAGGTAACCCAAAGATCCCAAACTTCTTCATTTTTCTCATAAAAAAAAAAAAAAAGGTTTTAATTGGGTTCATTAGGGAGTAAATTATAAATCAGTCATTCTATTTAAAAAAAACTAATTATTCTTTCTTTTTAAAAAAATTAATTATTTAATTCTTATATTTTTAATTTTTTTTGTAATTTAATTTATTGGTTTTTTTTCAATTTATTTTATTTTATATTTTAAGAAATAAAAAAAAGAAAAGAATAAGTGAAAGATATAGAAAGATTGATGAGAAAAAACAAATATTTTTGAAATAAAATAATATTTGATTAATTCACAATTATATTCAATTGTTGCATAGAAAACACTCAAAGAATATTTTACACATGAATCATAACATTTTAAGTTTATAAAGAATATGCGATGGATGACAACTAAGGATTTGTTTGAAATGTGGAATTCTTCTAATTGGATAGGTATCAACAACTATCAAAAATGAAAAATAAATAAATAAATAAATAAATAAAGGTTCCATCCTCCATGTTCTAATTGGATAGGGACCTTTCTTGTTTTTTTCATATGTCCAAGTCTATTTTAGGATTAATCGAGGATCTTTTTTTTTACCATCCAAAACCTTATGCTTAGAAAAATACCCATAACAATTTTATTTTTTTTCTTTTTCAATTGAAAAGTACCCATCCAAACTCTCCACATAAAAACTTATAAACATTTATAAATTGAATCACATGGCATATATTGTTGTCAAAATCACATGCCTTTTTCTATTTATATGTGTTCTAAAATATTTATTTAATTAATACTTTAAATTATATAATTTTTTAAAAAAATATTCTTAATTAAAATTGATTTTATAAAATATTTTCTAAATACAATCATAAGAAAAAATATTTTAAAAAATTATGAACAAAATTACTGATATAACATAACTATTAATAACTTTTTTTAATGTATATAAAAAAATTAAAGAAAATAATTTTTTTGAGGATGAAAAATATATATTTTTTTTCATTTAACGATAAATATATTGTCCAAACCAATTTATACCTAGAGTTTAGAGGTTTTTTTTTTTTTTAATAATTTAAGGTTCAATACTAAAATGCTTTCGAGCCAATTTTTACGTATTTTAAGATTAGTTTCATTCTGGATGTGACTAAAAGACACTCTTTAAAATATGATTTTAGATATTTTGAGAATAAATTTTTTAAAAATTGATTATAAGAATCAAATATTAATTTAATTTATAAATTAATGCTTGTTTATTGTCGCGCTATAAAAATAATAAAAAAAAAAAAGGAAAAAACAAATGGGATACTCACATTTTTTATGAATGGCAATTGGTGGAATTCCATTGAAGCGTAGACCAATGAGGAACCAGAGGTTGGATTCAAACAAGAAGAGCAACTTTATTTATTCTCTATCATTTCTCCTCATATTTTTATGCAAATAAAAAAACAGTGACCATCATCAAAGCCAACAAGGAAGGAGGGGGGCCATTCTAACATTTCCATTTTCTCCACAATCTTTGTGTCTTGTCTCTCTTTGGACAGCTACGAGCAAAAGTCATTTGCCATGGCAGATCTGAAGTCAACCTTCTTGAATGTCTTCTCTGTTCTCAAGAAAGAGCTTCTCGAGGATCCTGCTTTTGAATGGAGTCCTGATTCTCGCGAATGGGTAGAGAGGGTATGTGTGTTCTTTTTTGTCTTTTCTTGGCTTTCTTTGCATTTGCTTTGAAAAAGTTTCAATCTTTGTGTTTTATTGGATTTGGTGTGCGTGTGTTTTTGCTTTACTTGATTGGTAATGGGAATCCAATTATGAATCTTGAGCTTGAAAATGCTTTTTTTTTTTTTTTTGGTTTGTTTATGTGATGATGAACCCAGAATGATTTTGATGCAGTAAATGGATAAAGAACGTAAGTTGCGCAAGAAACATGATAGTCTGATTGGTTAGAGGTGATTTTTTGGGAGAAAGGAAGAATCTGTTCTAAAATTGCTATGTTCAGACTGTGACCAGGAACTTTATCTAAGGATGGGAGTTCTGGGAAAACCATGCTAAATTAAGCAATCTCTCACTAATCTTTGTTCTGTTTGTTAAAATGAAGTACTTAGAGAGTTGAAAACAACAAAAGTGCTTCAATTAATACACCTTTAAATTAGGATATGAGAAAAAGCTATCCCAAAGTTATACTTTCATTATCTTGATTTCTTTCCAACACTACATGGTTCACTTGTTCTGTATTTATAATGCCCCAAGTACTGCATTGGGAAAATCTTGGGCATAATTAACAGGCCTAATGATCCTGAAAGCAACCCAAATAGCACGTTTGGGTGATGGGTTTATATATTGTTATAAATTGTATCAAAGCCAGCTTAGCTTTTCTTGTTTGCAAACTTGGCATGGATATTTTGTCTCAGGAGTTTGTTAAACTAACATGTTTGAGCTTAGAATATATGCAGATTAACCTTTCTTTTGCTAATTTATATATTCATTTCTTTGTTGCAGATGTTGGACTACAATGTGCCTGGAGGTAGGAATTGAATCATTAAATCAACCACGATGAAGAATTTTATCCTAAATGTTTGTAATTATTTATCAGCCTGGAGGTAGCAATTGAATTGTTAAATCAACCGTCATAATTTGTTTTCTAGGGAAGCTGAATCGGGGACTCTCCGTGATAGACAGCTACAAATACTTGAAAGAAGGAAAGGAATTAACAGAAGATGAAATCTTTCTAGCAAGTGCACTTGGTTGGTGTATTGAATGGGTATAACTATTGAAAACTCTTCTCTTCTCACTTCTTGATTTAGTTAATTAGATAATATTTCTGCTAGTTCATAATCAGCTTATGGTATTTCACATTAATATTTGCAGCTTCAAGCATATTTTCTTGTCCTTGATGACATTATGGATAATTCCCATACAAGGCGTGGTCAACCCTGCTGGTTTAGGGTGCCCAAGGTTGGTACAACGAGCTTGTTGTTTAACCGCTATCATTTTGGTTTCCATTGCTAGTGAAATTGACTTTGATTAACTTTATTGTAGGTTGGTCTTATTGCATCAAATGATGGAGTTCTGCTTCGCAATCACATTCCCAGAATTCTCAAAAACCACTTCAGAGACAAGGCATACTATGTAGATCTCCTCGATTTGTTCAATGAGGTAATTGACTTCATACATTTCTCTTAAACACATTCGAATATAGAAACGTACCTACATTTTGTATATGCCATGACTATGCAGGTGGAATTTCAAACAGCCTCTGGACAGATGATAGATCTGATTACGACCCTCGAAGGAGAAAAGGACTTGTCCAAGTACACTTTGTCTCTGTAAGTGAAGCATATTCTAGCTCAGAAAGTTACAGGTCTCCGTATAGTAAGATAACTGACCAACCTGTAAGCAAACCCTCACCTGGTAGATAGGACCGCATGGCAAAGAAGCTTGCTTCTATCATGAGCATAGAAAATGCTATATTTTTCTCAGCACTATTCTAGTTCAATGTTGCTTGTAGTAGGATATAAATCTGTTTTCATCTAGCTTCACCATGGGAAAACAGGTCTTGAGGATGCAGAAAGGAGTTGACTTTGGTATAATTCTTGCGGTTATTTGATGTGATAAAATTTATTGAGAAGTTTAAATCCCAGCATGCAACTAACTCTTAATTCACTTTTCTAGTAATTTCTATTTGGTTTAGTTTGCAAAAAGGAGTTGATTTCCATAACCTTTGAATTTGTTGGAAATTTATGCAGACACCGGCGAATTGTGCAGTACAAGACTGCCTACTACTCATTTTATCTTCCTGTGAGTATGCACTGCCTGATAATGCTTGTCTTAAAATACTATTATTGAAATTCAGCGTTGCCAATTGCGCACATAAACCCTTTATAATTAGTTTAATGACACTGCATGCTGCCACGCCTTTTCTTGCATAGACTTTTATACTTTCTTCAACTTCAACTGCACCATTGGCCCCGATTTTTAAACTACAGCCAACACCTTTCTGCATATGAATTCTTTTATTGAGGTTCTCTGTGACCACCCTTCCATCCCCAAAATGGCAAGCCAATTTTTATAGATCAAATTTTCCACATTAGATATGTCAATCTGATTTATTATTTGTTGTTTGATCATTGAATCTACTCAGGTTGCATGTGCATTGCTCATGGCGGGTGAGAATCTGGACAACCATGTTGATGTAAAGAACATTCTTGTTGAGATGGGAACCTACTTTCAAGTACAGGTAATGTGGTATTGGAGATCTTAATGGTGTTGTCTTTTTATTTATTTAAATACTGGCTGCAAAATATCTTTCTTTTCTCTCATCTCTTCATGCATGTCAAATCACCTTTTATGTTTCTTGTGCAGGATGATTACTTGGATTGCTTTGGTGAGCCAGAGACAATTGGTAAGGTGAGCTCAAATATGGATAAGAGATGTTTTAGTGAACAAAATCCAGGGGGAAACGAAAAATAAACAGTTAATCTGCTTATCTAATTGGCTGGAGTTCTTAGTGATTATTATCATTATTATTTGTCTGCAATCAGATAGGAACAGATATTGAAGATTTTAAGTGCTCTTGGCTGGTCGTGAAGGCTTTGGAGATATGCAACGAAGAGCAAAAGAAACTATTACATGTAAGAGTGCTGTATTATCTTATTCGCTTTGTTATTTTCTGTTGAAAGTGAGGTAGGTTTGCTTATTGATGATGTCATTTCCTTCCAGGAAAACTATGGGAAAGCTGACCCGGCAAATGTAGCGAAAGTGAAGGCCCTCTATCATGAGCTGAACCTTCAGGTTTGAACTTGAACAGAAGTAAAAAGTGCTTATGATTTTTCAAAAGATAGTATATAATGTACGAGTGTCTCACTTTGTGATGGATGTGTAAAGTTTTAGCATTCCTTTTACTGAGTTGTTTGGCAAACTTGCTGGTTTATCGTAGGCGATACAGAAGTTGTGGTTTTTTGCCCTTCAGATTTCCTTTCTCTTATATGTAATCTCAAATTTTGACCATATAGGGTGTATTTGCCGACTACGAGAGCAAAAGCTACGAGAAGCTGATAACTTCTATAGAAGCTCATCCTAGCAAAGCAGTGCAAGCAGTGTTGAAGTCCTTCTTGGCTAAAATTTACAAGAGGCTGAAATAGAGAAAGGGCAAGCAGAAGTTGGATGATGCCGAAGAATGCAACTCTTTTAACCTTTCCAAATTGTATTTGTAATTTCCTAATTGAGGATGAGATTATTCTTCTTTTATCCTGTCCCTTGAACCATTTTGGTAGTGTTGGTGCTTACCCCTTTTTTTTTTTTTTTTTTTTGCCCCTTTTCTTTTGGAACAATGTTGGTGCTTGCTTATTTGGTCATTGAATAAACAGTGGTCATCATTATTCAGTAATAAGATTGAAGCTGTTTGATGTAGCTAATTGTGCAGAGACTTCCTTTTTAGATTTCATATGTGATCTTTAACTGTGTCTTGATTCGACAGAACTGCAATTTTAATTCATGAATCAAATTTGTTGGCCATGATACTTAATGCTTACAGATATATCCCTAGATGAAAAACTATGCCAGAAGGGTTTCAGTTTACAACTTCAAAAGGATTTTTCCAGTTATCAAAAACCAACATCAACGCTTTCTTCACTGACAGAGAAACATAAAACAAGACTAAAACTCTAGAAAAAGGAAACAACACAGCAACATCAGGTAAGACCACATGACTCAATTGCCTTCATCCATGAAGCCTGAAGGACAAAGCTTCAAACTAACCTACCAAGATCTACTACGATTTTTTTCTAACACAAAAATAAAATCTACACTGTAACACCAGCTTTTCAAGAACTAATGTGGCTTGTGAAGATCCTCTTCATCATTATCATCAACAACTTCCTCTTTGTCCCCCATTAATGTACCAGTAGTAGTCTTATTCTCATAAAGTTTTGTAACTTTGTGGAGAAAGGTTGGAAGAGTAATGGGGATCATAGAAATCAACAAGAGATAACTTCTCTAACAGTTCAGTCATTTCACTATCACAAGATCCATGCCGCACCAAGACATCTTCGGGCAAGTCTTCCATTCTGATGCAAGTCACCCCATCCTCTTCACCCTTATCATCACCAACTTCCTCTTTGTCCACCATTATTGTTCCAGCAGTAGTCTTAATATTCTCATAAAGTTTTGCAACTTTGTAGAGAAAAGTCGAAGGATGAATAGGATCATAGAAATCATCAAGACATAACTTCTCGAACTGCTCAGTTATTACACTGTCAAAAGAACTTGTCTCTGTCTTCTTTAATTTATCATGATGATCGCAATTGCTGTCCATACTCAAATCCTTAACAGATGCTTCCTTGTTCAGGGAAACAAGGAGAGAATGTCCACGGCCGCCATCAACATTGTTGTTGGTAGACAAAGAAGAAGATGACAACACCTTGTTTAGTTCTTGATCATGGCCATAGTCCATTGTACGTAACTAGTGTTCTTGCTTGTCAAGTTAAGAAAATCTGTTAAGAAGTAGAAGCTAGCAGTTTCACATATATATGTTTATGTGTTTGAGATGGATTGGGATTAGACTACTAGCTGGAAACACTAATTTCCTTGTTATTTGCTTTGTATTAAGTGATGGAATAGGTTTATAACTCTTAAATCAGTTTTTCAAAAGGACTTCAATTTATTATTCTCGAAAAAAAAAAATAAATCAAAGGAATTTCTTTAAGCTTAATGGGTTATAAATTACCTTGAGTTTTTTTTTTTTTTTTAAAAAAGTCCCTAATCAATTTTATTATGTTTGGATTCCAATTTTTTTTTTAATTCAAAATTAAATCCTTTCATCCCATTAATCAATCTAAGGCGATATTAAATATGAGCTATTAAAATGATGATAAATGTATTCTCACGTGCATACAATATTGTATGCAGTTAGTGAATAGAATAAAAGAATTTAATTGCAAACAAAAAAATTTCGAACCCTGATCAAAATAGAAAAAGCAAATGGTGAAAAAAAAGATCAAAAGAATTTATTTTTAGTAAAGTTAATTGTTTATAAAGTATCTTCAATTTTTGGTTAACATAAATAACGTTCCTAATCTTTTTTTATTTTAATTCCAAACTTTTTTTTATCTGTAATTATAGTTTTTTTTTTTTATCATATTAACTAATCTCAAGCAACATTAAATGCACACATGAGGATAAATGTTGTTGTTTTAATAACTCTCGTACTTGAAAGTATATCTTTCGGGATGAGTGTCATTGTTTTAACGACTCATGTGTGTCTAAAGTCATTCGAGATTAATTAACGGGGTATAAAAACTTTCAAATATGAATGAAAAGGATTAGAATTTTTTTTTCTTATGGATAAAAAATTCAGGGCAGTTTACAACCCATTATCATTTTAATAATTCTATTTTGGTTGATGTAAGAAGATTTTAAATTTATTCCATTGGAAAAAATAATAATAATGAGCATGCAATTAGTGAATAAAATGAAAGAATTTAATTGCAATCAAAAAAATTTTCAAACCCTGATCAAAATAAAAAAAGCAAACGGTGAAAAAAAAGATCAAAATAATTTATTTTTAGTAAAGTTAATTGTTTATAAAGTATCTTCAATTTTTGGTTAACATAAATAACGTTCTTAATTTTATTTTATTTTAATTCCAAACCTTTTTTTTTTATCTATAATTATAGTTTTTTTTTTTTTTTTATCATATTAACCAATCTCAAGCAACATTAAATGCATACAAGAGGATAAATGTTGTTGTTTTAATAACTCTCGTACCTGAAAGTATATCTTTCAGGATGAGTGTCATTGTTTTAATGACTCATGTGTGTCTAAAGTCATTCGAGATTAATTAACGGGGTATAAAAACTTTCAAATATGAATGAAAAGGATTAGAATTTTTTTTTCTTATGGATAAAAAATTCAGGGCAGTTTACAACCCATTATCATTTTAATAATTCTATTTTGGTTGATGTAAGAAGATTTTAAATTTATTCCATTGGAAAAAAAAATAATGAGCATGGGCCAAAATGTGATAAAAAGGGCTACGAATTTCCAAACCTAAGGCTTGAATCCAAGGATATAAGAATTGAAAAAGTGGGTAATGAGTTAGGGCTATAGGATTTGGCTATCAATTAACTCTAATGATTGGCTAAACTTTTCTTTTGGCAATAATAACGGTGGGTTATTTTAGTTTGATCGAAATCAAGATTCAATTCTCATTATTCTCGAATAATTAGTAATAATTATTTTTAACGAGTATCGATTTAAATTAATTTAATATAAAAGAAAACCTAATATTCAACTAAAAAATAAACGTGTTCGACATCAATTTAGTTCGAAGTGATGAATTTAATCTCGTTTGATGTAAAACTAAGCTGAGAATATCCCACTTGTAGATGTAAATAAAAAAATAAAATAATGATTGGCTAAGCTTTGAAACTTAATGGTCCAATCAAATGTGGCTGGCTGCCATTACTGTTCAAAGGTAGAAGACGCCAATCTGGCTCAGAATACTGAACTTTCCAAATAATTTTTTTTAGCTTGTTTGAAAAAGTCTATATGCTTTGGTAAATTATAATTCATTCTTTTATTTTCAAAAAATACATTAATTAGTCCATCATGTTTTAAAAATTAATTATTTAGTCTCTTAAGTAGTGTTGACTATGCTTAATTTAATATTATTTTATTTTTAAAATTATCATATTTTCTCATCAATTCTTTCATATTTATACCTATTTTTTCCTAAAAAAACTCAAAAAATTTGAAAAAAAATTAAACATATAACAACTAAATAATTAGTTTTTGAAATAAACAAAATCTAATTAATTCGTCAATTGAAACCAAAGGGACCAATTTATAACTTTGCCACCAACGTGAATATCGAATTCGGGAACATAAAATTTATAACTTTTTGTCTTCTTTGCCATCTCCCTTATTATAATTAATTATCCACCGCTCTCTTATTATTATAATTAATTCAACAACCAATTTCTGAGTCTGACACATTAATTAATTAGTCCCTCTAGTTTCAAGAAATAAATTAATTAATATTTTTTTTAAAAAATTATTATTTAATTATTTAATCAGTATTTAACATATTAAATTTAATATTATTTTTATTTCATAAAATCTCTTGTTTTTTTAATCAAAATTTTCATTTTTTTTTCATTTTTTTATTTCTAAAAAAAAAAGTTCAAAATAAATGAAAAAAAAGACTACATTGTAAATAGATTTCAAAACATAGAGACTAATAATTATTTTTTTAAATAAAAAAAATTAATTCATTCATTTTTTGTAACGAGAGGGATTAATTTATAATTTACTAGAGTTTAATCTCTTAAATTTCTCCATAAATTATATAGATCTTGAATATAACTTGAGAAAAGGAAGGGAGTCTTTAATTCCCCTTGAAAGCCACACATCCTTATCTCGAGTTAATTATAAATTAGTTTTATTAGTAAAAAAAAAGAATTAATTAGTTATTTTTATTTTAAAAACTAATTATTTTACATTTATAATTTTTTTTTGTAATTTAATCATATTCACTTGTTTTTAATTTATTTTGATTTTTTTAAAAAAATATATGTGAAAATATAAAAAATTTTATAAAAAAATAATAGTAAATTATACAATGATTAATACTATCAAGAAATTATATATATATTGAAAAAATCGATTAATTTGTTTCACAAAAAAGAAAAAAGTTGAATTCTCTAACGGTCGAAGCTGGAAAAGAAATGCAAATTACCAGAAAGATCTAATGATTGATTAAAGAAAGACAACTACTGAATCTTTAAAGATAAACCATAACGTAGTTTTTTCAAAGAAAAAAACTTTATTATACACAAAGCATATGGTCAGTCAACATGGTCCTACTTGTTAAGGTCAGTGCTTAAAAGTCAAACATAATACGCGCAATCTTACAATTACAAATAATGAAGTCTTCAAGGCAGGCAAGAAAAGTCCTTATCTTTTATCTTAATTTCCCATTTTTGTTCTCCATTCTTTTTAGGGTTTATCTTTCTCACCAGAAGAAGTAATCTTTCCTTGTTCAATTAATTTCTCTTTCTCTTTTTCTTTGGCATTGTTTCTTTCTGGATTTATCGTCATTGTTATTATTATAAAAGTTCTAATCTTTAGCTAAAATTTATTTAAATTATACTGTTAATCACATTGATTTCAATTTGTTTCCTTATTAGATCATAATTATTACAAAGATTTCATGATTTTTTCTTCAAAAAGTTTCAGTCTTGATATAGTTTTTTATGTCCCTCCTTAAACTCGCCTGCTCTTCAATGTTAATTTCTTAACTATTCAAGAAACCCCTTTTGTTGTTTATCATTTTAGGGTCGTGTAACAGGTTTTTTTAAGGATTTTGCGTTAAAAAGAATTCTGGGTTTTGTCTGTTTTTGTCTGAAGTTTTCTGTAAAACTTGTTTAATTGCTTCTTACAAATAAGAAGCGACAAAAGAGACTTGTCTTTTGTGGTGTTATTGTATTTTTAGGTTCAATACATTAGTGGGTTTAATTCAGTTTTTAGTGAAGTTTAAGCCTTTTGTTTGTATATTATGGGAGGAATGAAGCTTTTGGTTCGTGTAATAGAGGCAAGGAATTTGCCACCAACGGATCCAAATGGGTTAAGTGATCCATATGCCAAGTTGCAGTTAGGGAAGCAGAAGTTTAAGACCAAAGTTGTGAAGAAGAACTTGAACCCAAGTTGGGGAGAGGAGTTCAGTTTTAAAGTGGAGGACTTGAATGAGGAACTTGTAGTTTCTGTATTGGATGAAGACAAGTACTTTAATGATGATTTTGTTGGGCAGATTAAGGTTCCAGTTTGGCAAGTTTTTGATACGGACAGTAAGTCTCTTGGCACTGATTGGTACTCTTTGCAACCCAAAAACAAGAAGTCCAAGATCAAGGAATGTGGTATGTTTTCGATTTCCTTATAAACTAAAGTCTTTTTTTTTTTTTGAATGTTCATGATTTGGGAAAGCTATTTAGTCCTCTTTTGGTGATATCTATCTTAATCTGCTGTCCATAGCTAAGATTGAATCCTGTTTGATGAGGTTCTCATTGAGTTGTGTGTATTTGATTATGTTATTTTGTTTTTAACCTAGTGCAAGGTTTTGTGGATATAGTGAAGAATTCACATTGTGGATTGAATTACTTGTTTAAATTGTTGTCTTGACACAGTTGATGGATGACATTACTGATTGGAATTGCATGCTTCATCTTTTTGTTTTCTCCAACAGGTGAAATTCTTTTAAATATAAGTTTTTCTCAATCTTTTCCTGACTCAAATTGCAATGGTTCACTATCAAGGAAGAATGTGGATGCAAGGCAATCTCCATCTAGGTCGTTTAATGGGATGACCAACTCGTCCTCAGCAAGATTAGAAGAAAATGCTTTCTCTAAAGAAGAGAAGTTTTTCGCACAAAAAAAATTAGCTGGGAGAATTGCTCAAATGTTTAACAAAACTTCAGATGGGGTTTCAGCCACTACAAGCAGAAGCACTGAAATATCAGAGCAATCAGAAACTGATGGATCTGAGGTTTGTGATGAGAAGGCTGAGGATCAGTCCTCATCTGGCAACTTTGAAGAACTTATGAAGGAGATGGAATCTAGAGATGTAGGAAGTGAAGTTCCACAGAACCTACCTGGAGGAGTCCTTGTAGATCAATCATATGTGATTGCACCCCCAGAATTAAACTCTCTTCTCTTTTCACCTGACTCAAGTCTTGCCAGATCGCTGTCAGACTTCTTGGGAAATTCAGAACAGCAATTTGGTCCTTGGAAATTTGAGAATGGTAGCGAGAGCTTGAAAAGAGTAATTACTTACATCAGAGCACCAACCAAATTAGTTGGTGCTGTGAAAGCTACTGAGGAACAAACTTATCTAAAAGCAGATGGGAAGACATTCGCTGTTATGATGAGTGTGAGCACTCCGGATGTTATGTATGGGAACACCTTTAAAGTTGAATTGCTTTACTGCATTACGCCAGGCCCTGAGTTGCCATCAGGAGAGAAAACTTCACATTTGGTTATATCCTGGCGCATGAATTTTTTACAGAGCACCATGTTCAAAAGTATGATAGAAAATGGAGCCCGTTCAGGTCTTAAGGACAGTTTTGAGCAAGTTTCAACTTTTTTATCTCAAAATGTCAAGCCAGTTGATTTGAAGGACTTGGGATCTAGCAAGGAACAGGTTCTGGCTTCATTGAAGGTGGAACCCCAATCAGATTGGAAGCTGGCCGCACAGTATTTTGCCAACTTTACTGTAGTTTCTGCAGTTTTTATGGGACTGTATGTGCTTGTGCACATCTGGCTAGCTGCCCCCAGTGCAATTCAAGGGCTTGAGTTTGTTGGGCTTGACTTACCAGATTCAATTGGTGAAGTCATTGTGTGCAGCGTCCTGGCCCTTCAGTGTGAAAGGGTGTTAAGGTTACTTTCACGCTTCATGCAGGCTAGAGCTCAAAAAGGTAATATCCAAACCCAGTGCTCCCTCTTTTCTGCAGGTCTACTGTGTGCCTCTGGCTGAATGCCCGAGGTATCTACATATTGTTTAACTATAGTTTTTTTTGAGCAGCAGTTAGTTAGTTGAACTTTATATTGTTAAGTTTTGCTGACATTGTATATATTATTTTTTTTAATCTAAAAATAGGCACTGATCATGGAGTCAAAGCACAAGGAGATGGCTGGGTGCTTACAGTTGCCTTGATCGAGGGAAGTCATTTGCCAGCTGTTGATTCAAGCGGCTTTTGTGACCCATACGTGGTATTCACCTGCAATGGGAAAACAAGAACAAGCTCAATCAAGTTTCAGAAATCTGATCCTCAATGGAATGGTCAGTATGTCTTATATCAATTTTCCATATATAGACACACATTATTTTCTTAAACCATTTGACAGCTGTATGAATCATGCATAGAAATGCTTTTAAATTCTGTGATAAATATGTTCAAGCCATCTTTTAATTGATCATCGTGATGAAAAACCTTGGATGTTGCAGAAATATTCGAATTTGATGCCATGGATGATCCTCCTTCTGTGCTGGATGTGGAAATTTATGATTTTGATGGACCTTTCGATGAAGCCATGTCCTTGGGACATGCAGAGATTAATTTTGTAAAATCTAATTTATCGGGTTTAGCTGATGTGTGGGTTCCTCTTCAAGGAAAGTTAGCACAAGCATGTCAGTCGAAGCTGCACTTAAGGATTTTCTTGAACAATACAAGAGGCAGCAATGTTGTTAAAGAGTACTTAAGTAAGATGGAGAAAGAGGTGGGAAAGAAGGTAATTTGCTGGCTATTCTGCACTGGAGTTTCACTTTGTTAATGTACTGTATATCTTGTGTGTATTCTGCTTGTGCTTTCTTACTTAAATTGTTGATGGAATTTTTGTAGATAAATGTGCGTTCTCCTCAAACAAATTCGGCCTTCCAGAAGGTTTTTGGGCTTCCACCAGAGGAATTCCTAATCAATGACTTCACCTGTCACTTAAAACGAAAGATGCCATTACAGGTGCCGTTGGTGTAATTATATCATCTCAAATTTGTTATCTCAAGTTTAAATGTTGCTTCCTTCTTAAGCTCTTTAGTATGACTTGTGATTGTATATTACAGGGTCGGCTGTTTCTGTCCGCTAGAATAATTGGATTCTATGCAAATTTATTTGGGCAAAAGACTAAATTTTTTTTCCTTTGGGAGGACATAGAGGACATTCAAGTTTATACTCCTACTCTATCTTCAATGGGTAGCCCAGTTATTGTTATAACTCTCCGACAAGGCAGAGGTATGGATGCTAGGCATGGGGCAAAGACAATTGATGATGAAGGGAGGCTGAAGTTCCATTTTCAGTCTTTTGTATCTTTTAGTGTAGCACATAGGTAAATAACAAATGCTAAATAGGACCTCTGGACTTCTGATACAGAAAACTACTTTATCATCATAACTGTGACAATAATGGATAAAAGCAGGACATCTTTGACTTGCATTAATTTAAATTTTTCTTTTTTTGCACTGAATAGGACAATCATGGCTTTGTGGAAATCCAGATCGTTGAGTCCTGAACAGAAGGTGCAAATAGTTGAAGAACAATCAGAAACCAAAATCCTTCAACCTGAGGAGACTGGGGCTTTCTTGGGTCTTGAGGATGTCAGCATGTCCGAGGTTTATGCTTCTTCCCTTTCTGTTCCTGTAAGCTCTCTCTCTCTCTCTTGCCCCTCCAATTGTACGAGCTTGAATGCATATTTTCGTACATGCCATAATCATTCCTATACATTTTGGATTTGTTATCTTAGTCTGCACATTGTGCAAATTTATGCTTTTTTTCTGATAGTGGGTATTGTGTTTTAGACCAATTTCATAATGGAGATGTTCGGTGGTGGTGAATTGGATCGGAAAGTAATGGAGAAAGCTGGTAATCTTAGCTATTCTTGCACCCCATGGGAATCGGTGAAGACTGATGTATATGAGAGGCAAATATATTACAGATTTGATAAGCATATATCTCGTTTTGGAGGAGAGGTCACAAGTACTCAGCAGAAATACCCCCTCTCGGATAGGAAAGGCTGGCTTGTCGAAGAGGTTATGACTCTTCATGGAGTTCCACTGGGCGACTACTTTAATGTATGGCCAAAAACTTGATTACTTACACTGGATGTCTCCTATAGCTAATCTTGTTTACAATGCTACAACCTCTGCTCCCTGCTTTTATTTTCTATTTACAGTGTTCTTTCTTCCTCGTAATTGACAATTTTACTTCATGTTTTTTGAAGCTTCACCTGAGATATCAAATTGAGGACTTTCCCTCGAGATTGAAAGGCTGTCATGTGCGTGTATCAATTGGAGTCGCATGGCTGAAAAGTACGCGGCATCAAAAAAGGATTTCAAAGAACATCCTCTCAAACCTGCAAGATCGCCTGAAGGTGATATTTAATGTAGTTGAGAAGGAGTTTGCAAATAGATAATGAATGGTTTCTGGGCTGCTTCTCCGAATTTTATATGATGGGCGTAATTGGAGATGGCTGATTGTTTGTATACACCTTCGGCAGCAAGCCAACGCTCTCTGTCCATCTCCATCACGGCAGTGCTATCGGTTCTAGAGCTTGAATGACATTTCATGATTGTATATCCAGCCATGCTTCCCTTTTCCTTCATATTGGTGCTGTTGCAGCATTTCTTTCGATCTGCGCTAATTTTGTTTGAACCCAGATTGGATGACCGACGTGGGGCTTCAGAGTTGAACTTGACTCCTCGCTAACCAGCTTGTTAGTAGCAGAATTATAGATACTATCTGTAAATGTAGTGAATCCAGAATTTCAATTGACTTGAAGAGTTTGTGCAGCAACAGTATGTGTATGAATAAGATGTAAAATAGCATACAAGCAACAAGAGTGATTTTAAGCTTCAAATGTTGTTCCCAGTCAGCAATTTGTGAGCAATGCTGTCTGTTGTTCATTGTTTACAATAAAATGTTAAAAGCTGTCTTCTTTAGCAGTGATTGTTGCCCTTTGGCCATGGCCAAAGTTAATCTTATCCTCTGTTGTTTGTCATCAGATGCTTCTAATTAGAGGAAGGGCTTTTTTTTTTTTTCTAACTCAATTATTTTCAATTTATTTTATTTTATTTAAAAATAAATGAATAAAAATATAGAAGAATCGGTGAAAAAAGATGACATTTTATGAAATAAAATAATATTAAATTAAGTATAATTAATATTTGATTAAAAGATTAAATAATTAGGTTTTTTTGTTAAAAAAATAGTAGTTAATTCATTTCTTGAAAATAAAGGAAATAATTTATTTGGGATTTTCTTTTTTAACTAAAAATACAAAGGAAGAAAAAACGCACAAGAAGAAAGGAAAACTTCATTATCATCCTTGACGTATTACTTGATTATCAATTTCATCCTAAAGCCATTCAACACTAGACAATATTGTGTCTACTTTCCTACAAAGACCAAGCATCTGAAACCTGAGCTCTTCTACTTGAAGGAGCAACTTTGTCCACTGCCGAAAAACTTTTTGGATGAAATTAATAAAAATTAATTAATTTGAGATAAAAAATGAGTTTTTTCCTAAGATATTGAGAAAGGATGTAATTGGTATAAAATTAAACATAGGGAGAATTATTGCAAACTAAAGAAGAGAAGCAAAATTTAAGACACAAAACCTTAAAAATTAGAAGAAAAGAAAAGCGGAGTTTGAAGGAAGCAGCTTTGTTTCTCTGTTTTTGGGGCTGGCTTTTGCGTTGCTCTCCCTCTACCTTCAAAGCTAACACACACTCACGTCCCAAAAGAAACAGCTTCAGGTAAACTCCCAAAAACGCAACTCCTTTCTTGGTTAGATTAGATGAAATTAAGCTTAGAAAAGACGAATTTTTAAGCTTTTGTTTTTTTTTATTTATTCAGTATCTGATCACGGGATCAATTTGTTTCCTTCTCTTTTCTCTGTTTTTTGTTAATTAAATACCGCCTACTGTTATTTCTTTCAAAAGGGTCAAGTAAAGTTTGCTTCTTTTGAATCCAAAATCTTTGGATTAATAACTATGAGAATGAAATCTGGGTGATTTGATTGACAAGTGTGGATTTTTAGTTTCAGTGTCACTGTTTTAGTTACTTTTTTTAATAGCGAATAAGCTAGAACTCTATTATATTGTATTTGAATTTAGGGTTTTGGATGCGAGGGTATGGTGCTGCTTGAGTTTGTTGATTGTCTTCACTTGAAAAATATGCAAATTTGAATATCTGTGTCGGTTTTTTTCGATGCTAATGCCACATTTGCGGTGCTGTTTAGCCGAGGAATCATATTGAGGAACTATATTTGATAACTAAGGGGAACGTAGAATGTATGGTAGAGCAGGTCTTGAGCGTTTTAAAAAGCTCAATCCACTGAACCCTTCTCAGTCTCTGTCAATTCGGCTTCCAAAACCACTGCCCAACCTGCTACTAAAACTGTTACACAACCCTCAGTTCAGTATTCGCAATCTAAGGCACAATCCCAGTTCCGAGACCAACCTCATGCTGCTCAGAAACCTGTGGTGCCAGAGGCTGGGCCATTGCTTGGGCATACTCAGCCAGCAACGCAGGTTGGAGGAGGGCAGTCAACTTGGCAGCCACCAGACTGGGCGGTTGAGCCTCGACCGGGAGTTTATTATCTTGAGGTTTTGAAGGATGGAGAAGTTCTTGATCAGATTAATTTGGATAGGCGGAGGCATATCTTTGGGAGGCAAATTCCCACTTGTGATTTTGTGCTTGATCATCAGTCTGTTTCACGCCAACATGCTGCTGTCATTCCTCATAAGAATGGAAGGTTAGATCTTTGTGCTTGTTTTCATGGGTGCTGTTTTCCTTGGCCTCTTGTTTCAGTTCTGTATAAATTCTGCCTTGGAACCTCATTGCAATTTTTCTTGTAGTTGTCATTGTAGATGTTATAGGCCATGATTTTCCTGTATTAAGCATTACTATGCTGAATATGATGGTTCTTTACTAAGTGTTGGTTGATTGGCACTAGTATTGTGATGTAGTTACTAGGTACAAGCATGACATGGACAAGATAATAACGATGGCAAAGTAGAAACAAATAGTAATTGCTAATTTTAACTGTGAAATGGAATTTAGATTGGTTTTTGCGGTTGATATGTGTTGCAGTTAAGATATTTCTCATTTAAGGATGAGGATTGTGAAGTTAAAGTCAATTCTGGAGAAGGTTTATAACTAAATGATCTGGATTGGCAATTCACTACAGTTCATCGTAGCTCTCTTAAGTTCGCAAGTTTCTTAATTCATGTGCTTCTTATCTTCTGCAGCATATTTGTTATTGATTTGGGGTCCGCGCATGGTACATTTGTGGCAAATGAGCGGTTGACCAAAGATACCCCTGTTGAGCTGGAAGTGGGCCAGTCTTTGCGGTTTGCTGCATCAACACGAACTTATGTCCTGAGAAAGAATGATGCAGCTCTTTTTCCTCGTCCTCAACCACCCTCAGAAATTAACCTTCCACCACCTCCTGATCCATCTGATGAAGAAGCTGTTGTAGCATATAATACTTTTTTAAATTGTTACGGTCTAAACAGGCCTGATCTACTGACTGAATCGAGTGAATCCAGTGTTTCATTAAGCAGAAGACATGATGACCCGCTGTCGGGGAGAGCTGCTAAGAGAATCAAGAAATCCAGGGTTGTTTTCAGGGATCAAGTTGGGGGCGAGCTGGTTGAAGTTGTTGGTATTTCAGATGGTGCAGATGTAGAAACAGAGCCTGGTCCAATAGGTGTAAAAGAAGGAAGTCTTGTTGGAAAATATGAATCTCTTGTACAGGTTACAGTAATACCCAAAGGCAAGGAACAATCCTCAGCAAAGGAAAACCATGCTTCGCAAAAAGGTGTGACCAGTAAATTACAAGAAGTCTTGAATAAGGTTAAAACTGCTCCAAAAGGTGGGATATATGATGACCTTTATGGAGAATCGTTTGCCGGAAAATTGGGTTCTTCCTGGGCATATAATTCTGATAGTTCTGCTGGTAATCCAACTTCTCCGACTCAAGATGGCCAAGGGAAGGCCATTGTTTCTTTGAGCGAAAAACCTGAAAGTAACTTGAGCACTTGTGATGACGACGACGATGATGATTTATTTGGTGACTAGTTGAAGTGAGGGAGCTCATTAGTTATTCTAATTCTTTTGTTTTGGGCATTGAAGAGCAGCTATGGGTTTGACATTGTTGCCACAAGATGTCCCCCGGTAACAGCAATTCGAGGCCCTTATTTTCCCTGTAATTTGGATTTTTTTTTTTTTTTGGTATTTTATCAGCAATTTTCTTCTTTGTAAGGGCAACTGCTCATTTGGTTTATATTTTGTAACTCACCTTTTAGCCTTCAAACTGGGGTTAACCTATAGGAAATGGAATAGAATTGAGTTGTGGCAAATTTTTTAGCTGGTTATCAAACTCTTTTGTGGTGATTCATGTTCCTACTTGTTGTGCTTGCACTTATTGTCATGAGCACAAAATCTTGGGTTAACTAGATTCATCCCAAGAAAAGAACATTGAAGAATTGTTTTTAATTTCCTTCTCTCTTTCCTGCTCTCTTCATTCTCTCAGTTAAACTGAAGCTCGTTGCTTTCTTCCTCCAAATTTTAGAGTAGTGATCAGAAACTGAATTGAAAGAGGATAAAAAGTCAATAGTTATATATTATCAAGTTCAAAAGTTGCCTTGTCTAAAGCATGAAAATGACATTAAAGTAATTCCTAGAGTTTTAATCAGCATTCCATTGACCTTACTGTGGATGCTATCATTATCTTAATTAGAGAGTCCATTGAAGGAAAGGAAATGATTGTGCAACAATAAAGAGCCCTTTTACTTTTTGAATGCCATTATAGTTTCCACTCCAAACATATTGCATCATCTTCTCATATATAGTGACAATTTTTCCTGCTAGTTAAAATGGATGTTCCACGAAATTGGGTAATTGACAGCTTTATTTCTACTTCCAAGGAAAGTATCTCCACAATTCTCTGCAGAGAGCCAATCTAATTATGCCAAAGGTTTCTGAGCTACTGCTTAAAGCATGGAGCAATAGCCCATAACCAGCACTCACTTTTCAGAGCAGTAGACTTAGAAGCATAGTTTTAAATCCTCAGTACAGCTGTAAAAACAATCGTAGTTCATAGTGACTTCACAAGTAATCGATGTCGTGAATATATATATTAACTGTTATTTGAATTGCTATTCACCAAATAATGACAATAATCGTTGTTGTTGTTATATAAGGCTGTTATTGTCGTAATTTGTGTGAATCGAGATTATTTTATTTATGATGATGAATACGAGAATGGTTTTACTTTTGAAAAAGATAATCATGATTGTATCCCTTAAAAGAAAGTTGAAACTAAAACAAGAAAATATTGCTCTTAGATGCATAGACATGATTAGGGATTCAAATATCAATTTCATTGATGAGAAAGAAATGCAAAGCCCACTTGCCACCATAGACTCAAGGAATTAGATGAGACAGGGAAGAAGACAATGAGGTGGCATCAACTAACATTGACTGTCCAAATGTTGAAAAAAAAAAAAAAAGGCTCCTAAGTCCCATCTTACTGTTACTCTAATCTTTCATATGGTATTGTAGGACCATATGATATGGAGTAGAGATTGACTAGTAGCATTTTGGAAACCTATTGGTTTCCTAATCCTACCTATGCCTGACCTTTCATTGGAACCCAGGTTGACATAGCTTCCTTTAGTGTCTTGCTATAATTGCCTCTATGAATGCAGCATTTATGTGTCTTTTTTGGGCTAAATTATAAAATAATAATAAAAAAAAAAAATTGATCGAAAAAACGAATACCCTTTGAAAATATTTGATTTTATCTTTCGAACAATATGATTTTTGAATTTGTCCTTATTTTTAGGGTTCGCTAGAGAAATTGATTGAAAAAACTCATAATAATCTTCTACCAAAATTAGAAAAATATGTTTACTATTAGATTAACAAAAAGCATTGGGAGGGTTTTTATGGGTTTTTTTAATTATTTTTTCTTGTGGCTAGATTCTAAATGAAATCCTAACAAAAAGGAAAAATTCGAATGATAAAAAAATCACGGATTTTTTTTTTAGTTCGAAGGGTATTTGTTTTTTCGCTAAAATTGTGAAAAAGTATTTTAGATTTAACATTTTTTAAGGTTTTCTTATTGATAATACATGTTGTAGAATTAATTATGGTCCAAATGATACATGTATTTAGAATGAAAAATTAACTGTGCATGATATTTAAATTAAATCTAACTAATTAAAATATATGATATTAATTATGATACATGATATTTAAAGTGTATCTAATTAATTAATATATATCTAATTAATGATAATACGTTATCAAATTGACGAGAGACTTTGATTAATGCTATAAAAAGAGGTCTTTTTTATTTTTTAATGTCTAAAAAAACTAAAAGTAATAATATTTTTCAATCTTTAAGAAAAGGATTAATCTATATATATATATATATATATATATATATATAATGGAGGGTACGTAGTGGGCACTTAGCATCATCTGTTTAGCGGCCGACATGGTAACCTAAAAATCAAAGGATCCGAGTAAGATCCATTACCACTTCTTTATTCTGCAACCAAAAAACGAAGCAATGAGGAAAAGACTTGTCACTTCAACAAAGAAAGTGTTGATTTCTTTTACTCTTTGCTAGATTATTTGTAAAACTTGCTTGAGTCCACTCGTTGGATGTTATAGGTTTTTTTTTTTTTTTCAAATAGGAATGTTTTTTAGATATTAATATTATTAGTAAAATTTGTTTGAATCTCTAAATTCGATGTTATAGTTTTTTTTTATTTTTTTATTTTATATTCAACTAGAATGTTTTTTTGGATACAATTGTTGCATTGTTAGTAAAATTTGCTTGAATCTTCTAGTTCAATATTATAGTTTGTTTGTTTTTTTATCGAATTGCAATGTTTTTTAGATATTATATTATTAGTAAAATTTGTTTGAATCTACAAATTCGATATTATAGTTTGCATTATCGAATAAATTTTTTTTGCTTGAATTAGAATGTTTTTTTAATACAATTGTTGCATTACAAGTAACATTTGCTTGAATCCTCTAGTTCGATCTTATAATTTGTTTTTAATTGAATCAAAAATGTTTTTTTAGATATTATATTAGTAAAATTTGTTTGAATCCCCTAACTCAATAATATAGTTTGTTTTTAATCTAATCGGAATGCATTTTAGACATTATATTATTAGTAAAATTTGTTTGAATCTCTAAATTCGATATTATAGTTTTTTTTTTTAATGGAATCGTAATGTTTTTTTGGATACGGTTGTTGCATTACTAGTAAAATTTGCTTGAATCTCCTAATTCGATATTATAGTTTGTTTTTAATCAAATAGAAATGTTTTTTAGATATTATATTATTAGTAAAATTTGTTTAAGTCTCCTAATCCAGTTTTTATCGAACCATAATGTTTTTTTTTTATACAATTGTTGCATTACTATTCAAATTTACGTAAATCTCCTAATTCGACATTATAGTTTGTTTTTAATCCAACCATGAATGTTTTTTTTTTTTTAAGTATAATTGTTACATTACTAGAATCTTTTAGTTTGATGGTTTAGTTTATGTTTCATCGAATCGAAATATCAATATCAATCACTATATTCTATGAACTGATTATATAAAGTTAAAATCTATCTAGATGCTAAATTAATTTACCCAAGAAAGGATAAGTTGACCTAATCAATAAAGGGTCATTAGGTTATTGGCAAACAAAAAGAATTTAAGGATAACGATCACAGTGCTTCATATAATTAGCATTATAGGTAGTCAATAAAGAAGCACATTAAGGATTTGGATAATCGAGGGTTAAGGGGATAGATATCTAGTTTCTTCTAGTAACTTTTAAATTAGTCCTTTTAGTTTTGTAAAATAAATTAAATAGTCCATCTTCTTTCACAAACTAATTAATTAATTTTTTATTATTTTTTCTCATCAATCCTTCTATTTTTTTTTTTACTTATTTTTTCATATTTTTAAAATAAAAAATCAAAATAAATTGAAAATAAACAAAAAGGACTAAGTTATAAATAAATTTAAAACATAAGGACTAATCAATTAGTTTTTAAAACTAAAGGTACTAATTTATAGTCTACTCTAGTTTCTTCTAGCACAGAGTTGGATGCTTTTTTAAAAAAATATTAGAAACTGAAAAGTAATTAAGGATAATGATAACTATGATGATGGTTAACATGCGATTGGTCACTTATGATATGATCTTAATCATCGCCATCATGAGTGTCTTGTCATAACATAATTGAGTTAGGCTGCTTTGATCACCAAATTAAAGACCAAAGTGTACTATATAGCTTAATTGCAATAATTAAGCTAAGAAAAACTTTTTTTTTTTTTTAAAGATCATAACTAATCTTGATTATTCTATTTTGTATCACACTAAACACTAATTATTTATGAATTAAAAAATCTAACCCTCAGAATCCATTAAAAGATAAACACAATTCAAAAAGTTTGACTCTTACAATCAACTAAATCATAAAAATAATTTAAAAAATAATAAATTTAATTTTGTTCGATGTCAAAAAAATTGATTCGTGGGTTCAAAGAGTCTGGCTCTTAAAATCAACTAAATGATATAAATAATTTAAAAAATGATTAATTTAATTGTATTCGGTATGAAAACTGGTACAAGAATGTCACGATAATTAAGCCACACACACATATATATAAATAATTTAAAAAATAATAAATTTAATTATATTCGGTATGAAAACTGGTACGAGAATGTCACGATAATTAAGCTCCACACACACACATATATATATATAAAATAAAAAAGGATGTTAATAGTTAACTCATCACATCCTCTTCAACTTTTTCTCCTTGACAGAAAGGAGTGGAGGATGGGGTAAACAAGATGGAGCCAAGGAAACGATCTTTTTGAAAACAAAGCAACAAAAGAATAGATTGACACAAAAACACGTGAGATTAAGAAACCTACACGCATGAAAGATCAAAGCAGCAAACAGTGAGTGATTGAAGAATGAAAGAATGAAGAGAAATGGTGGTCTGATTTTTGGCCTCCAAAACAACCAACAATGCAGAGCAGACC